CTCCATATCCAAGGCTGTGATCACTGCAGGGCGAGATTAATAGAAAGGCACATGATAGAAAAGAAACAGGGAATTAGAATGAATACACATAGAGAACATGAAAAAATGCAAATGTGTTTTGTATTTTTCTCCCAGTTACAGGAGGTTTTAGTGGGATTTTTTGTTCTTGAATGGTGTGCTTGTTAAATGTATGCAATGCATCTAATGTTTGAGGGTGTTGGTTTATGACAATAAAACTATGAGTCATTGGCAGTCTTCAGTGAAGTCTTACCATCCCATTGTTTAAAGCCGTCCTCCCCGACTTCTATCTGATCAGGTTTCTGAAATAACAGTCACCAATAAAATATTGCTGCAACCTCACAGCTCTGAACACTTGCAGTTCCCACTCACATGCCAGAGTAGCACAGCCAAAAGAGAACACACAGTAGACAAAGGAGAACACAAATAGCAAAGGGCATGCACATAGAGGGCAAACAATTTCAAAAGGTACACAGGTTTAATAAAAGTGGGGGGGAAGAGACAATTCTAACACTTGAGTTGTAGAAGAGTTTGTTTTAGAATGTGTTAAAAAGCTATCGCAGTACATAGAGACTATCAATATAAAAGAAATAAGAAGGATACAAGAGAGGAAATGGACTTAAGCAATTAAGTAACAAACTATTCTACATAGACATTAAGGCAGTTCATACAGTGTGATGAACACAGCATGTGTGAAGGGAGCTTACTTTGCTTACATGCAGTGTTCATTACAGGAGGAGGTAACAATATCACAAATAAACAGATTTTCCACTATAGCTAAAACTCACCTTGAAAAAGTCATCTTGATGAACAACAGAACAGTTGGGCAAAGTCTTGATCAACTTATTTGTCAGGGTGGTTTTGCCACCATTGGTGACTCTGTCAACAAAAAGGCAAAAGTGTCAAAATAAAGATTGTTTATGTTTTACAAACTTTTTTTTTTTTAACAGCTGAAAACTAAATGTTTTCGATGAGATAACATTTAGAAAACATGTCACTCCTACAAGTTGTTCTCAAGAGGAAAAGCGGCGCCCTTTGTTTACATTCAATAGTTTTTAGATTTTATCTGGTGAAAATAGTCAGATAGATTTGCTTTAACAAAGTAAAATGTTGAAAATAGTTTGTAGTGTAAGATTTCAAGTTGCACCTCTATAATTAAGAAAATGTCCTGAATACAGGGCGCTTGGCTCTGATTTAAAACAAAATAATTTAATTTAATCGTGTCATCTCCCAATGTGAATGAAAATAGAAACAATATGGTTTAAACAGTCAGCTTTATTTAGTTTCTTATTGAACTTAAGTTGAATTTCCCTCCACTTTTGAATTCAGTCTCGCGGTGAATTTCAAATGTCCCGCCTGATTTATGGCAACAAACCCGCAACAAACGAGCCAAACCGGATGTGACTTTGAACAGTCCAGTGATGATGATTTCTGGCGGGCATCTAATAAAACGTGACTAACAACCAGGCAGAGACTAATGTCCCCATTACATGTAAATATCGTATTTACCCAGAGCCTCTAGTATGTCCCATGATCACTGTAACATAACACTACACAGGATCCCACAACATCACAGCTTTATTATAACAACATTCATCTCCTCAACTATCAGCGACTTCATCCTAAATGACAAACTTACACTCAAGATGGACAGTGGTGCGACTGTGTAAGCAAAGTTTTCGCAAAAACGAGCTGATTGATGAAAATAAATTTAAAAAAAACAACTTACCCGCCAATTCCTATAATGTACTTCATCTTTTTTGTTGCTTTGTTGCGAGTCCTGCTCAACTTCAGCCGAAAAAACTTTCAAGAGTGTTTCCACCCAAAGCCGAGGACACAAGTCTGAAAGATATAAATGTTTCAGAAAGTCGAAAAGAGGAGATGTTAAGTGGCTCACGCTTCCCTCTCTGAACGAGAGGGTCTGCAGTTCATATCACACATGCGTCTGTGACGTCATCACGCATCACAGGGCGTACTCGTGGTGGGTCGGACGCGTCGGACGTGCCATTGGGACGTATTCATGAGCTTTACAGCTCGAGCTACGGGCCTCCTTCCAGCAGCCAATCAGTGCCGGCAGAGCAGCCGCCACCAGCCAATCACAGCCCGCGAACTTTCAGACGTTTACATTATTTCACAGCAGCTGCTCTTGTCAATCACAGCGATGGATGACCAGCGACGCATACTTTTCCATTAAGCAGTTAATCCACCTGATGACCATGTAACTGTGGAAAACTACCTCTGATGGTGTCCTATTGATACATTAGATTACAGTTCTGTTCTGTACTGATGTCTACCAGTAAACCAACTTACTTATGGCAACAGGGCTTAACATGGAGTCGAGAGATATTAAGATGATAAATATACATCAGTAGAAGTGTTATAACAGCAATCTCCTTTGATCAATATTTACTTGATTTGTATTGAAGAATATGTGGAAACTAGAGAGCCAGAACAATTGTTGTTGTAATCAGATAAAAAGTTGAGTAAAGAGTGCATCAATAGTTGTAAAACAAAAAGTACCATTATATCTTGGTGGACACATTTATAGTCTCTAAGAATTCACTTAATAAATAAAATGTAATTGCACTACCTTATGAGGAGGTCCTAGTTCACAATTATACAAGATTATTATAACATGAATATTAATATTAAAGGCCTAATCAAAATGTAAGTTTAACTTATTGTTCCCAATAAGCAGTTCTCTTTTCATGGTTTTATTATATAATATAAATCAGATAGTTAACCTCTATTTAGTATTTAGGGTTTAATAATGTATGGAAAACACATTTTTATGTGGAGCCAATTTAAATAACTTTACAGTACGCTGTGTTGTGAAGACTTTTGTTCCTGCCTAATAACATCATATTTTATGAACTGCTATTTTCTAAGAAGATTTTTGGCTAAAAATAAAATATTAAGTACAACAGTTAACAAAAAAATGAAATGTAAGGTACAATAGTTTCCTATTAAATTTAGTGAAGTTGTAAGAAGAAGTAGGTTATAGTATTTAGAAGCCTAGGCTAATAAAAAAAAACAGACTCACAAATACCTAACATTTTACCCAATTTAAGTACAGTAGGCTCTAAGAAGTATGCCCATAATGTTAATGTGTGATATGTGATAGTGGGATATATTTCAATAACACTGACTTGACACAGTGACTGACTTGAATTTCACAGGTGTACTTTTATAATCACCCCAAAGGTGTTCAATCAATTCTCCTTCATAACTTCATACTGACAAGCACACTTTGAACAAATATGCTGACCACCATTGTAAACTTACATGTGTAGGTCAGGAGGGCAGTGAGCCGGCAAGAAGGAGCCGAAAATTAGATGGAAACCGACTATCTGCATGGCCCATGTTTTAAACTATAAATGTAACAGCTGAGGTTCAAGTTAAAGTTATTATCAAGAATAAAAAAAATACTTTTTTGATCATATATAGTAGGTTTGACTGGTACCAAAATGTGTGATGGTAAATCACACAATGTATAGTTCATTGCTTATACACAGCGTGTGACCAGCATGTCTATGTGTCCATCTGTAATATGAATCCTGTCACAGACGTCAGGGGACACGGGACAGCCTTAAGGGTCTCTCTCTGTTACTTCAAGTGTTTTAGGAGAGAAAGGTGTGACAAATGACTCACGTGATCATCTATGTGTCTATGTGGAGGTCACAGGACGGCAGAAGCTATTCTTGCTTCACCAATTTTTTTCTGAAATGCCACTATTAAGCATCCACTGATTGCATTTTCATCAAGTGGTCACAATATTGGGAATATGAATACGAAAATAAACCTAGTACAATTTCATTGAATTAACAGTGAAATTGTACTATAGGCAAGTAGTGAGGAACCCAAATGCGGGCATAGAGGCAGGTATGGTAGCAGGTAATGGAAAACAAGCTCATATGTAGGCAGGCAGGTCCGGGACTCAACAAAACTCTGAAACTCAAACCAGGATTAAACTAGACACAGGAAAGTGTCCAGTTTGAAGTGAGGTTGAAAAGAGGAGGAAAGATATTATGTGAGCAGGTGGGTGGGGATAGGGACGGAGGGGGCGTCTGAGGACATCTTGTGGAGAGATGGAGAAATGAAGGGACCACAGGACGTGGGGACCAGTTAGGACGAACGAGGTGCCAGACTGTGATATGTTGAACAGATGTAAAGCTCTTAAAGGCAAAACTATAATTTTGAACTTAGTTGATTTGTCATCTTGTGTTTTGGATGTCCTTTTACTTTCTGAATTAACATTACTTTCATAAATCCCGACTGAGTCATTAAAACTTTTTTCAAAGCACATATTTTCAGCTGTCATGGCAGGTAGGTGGAACAAACAACTTGATTTATTTCAGCATTTATTGCAGTTCAGTGCAATAACTAATGTTGCCTCACTTGTTTTTGACAAATTAGACGGTTGAAAAGGAGCAAAAATAATAATGGTGAAAGCATAATAAATAAGAAAAGGTAACCCTTCAATTCTAAAGATTTTGGTTTTCTGGATGCAGCTGAAAACCTAACTAAACTGCTGTTAATAAAATTGTGACAAACTCACTTGCAATCAGCTGTTCGTTTACACATGCATGAATATGAGGCTCTTACTATATATACATTAATATTTCAAATGTAAGAATCAATAATCATACACAATCTGCAACATAGATAACAGCAACACTATTAATTAGATAAATATATCTGTCCATATCGACTTCCTGAAATATTTTGAGCAACATTGCATATTTTTTTCTTCAAAAACCTTTTTTAGAAGCAACATTGATTTATGCTCATTTGCAATGTCACACCACAACCCCGTCTGAACATTGCTCAGATGCTGACAAAAGCTGTCGCCCTTTTTTTCCCAGAAGGCCACACCCACCACGATCGCTGGGCTATTTGTAGGTCATTAAGTGTGAATCAGGACATCAAGACCAATGGTCCCCTTGTTTAAGTGCAAAGTTCGTATGAAATAAAAAAAAACCTTTCAATTCAATAGGAGGAACAGTTTATTCAGTTATTCTAAGACAGAGCCAATCATACCAATCCAAAGAACCCTTCACATTGCAATCTGAGGCAACATTATACAGAAAATACATGGAGGCAGATCATTTGTAATGATCTAAATATTGTGCTTTTATTGTGTAAGATTTAATTGGTCACTTCTATGCAGACATTGCTTGTAATATAAGTTGTGACTGATATTTTAAACCTGTAAACTATAACTAAATCTTGAAAGGTTACACGTTGCATTTCTGGATTTCTTTTAAACATTTGTTGAAGAATAGGCACTAAAGACAGCAAACACACATCAAAGGAACATTTCCAAAGAATGACAAGCTGCAGAAAGGGTTACATACCGTATGAGAGAGGCTCAGGTTTAGTTTACTGGTGTGGAAACAGCCACACGTGACTGCAAAGGGACTCAAATTCAAGCTTTTTTTTAAAACATTTATTCATGAGAAAGGCAAAATAAAAGAAATGATGATAAAGCAGAACTAAGAGGCGGCACTTTAGAAACAGGGTCCAATTTTCTTGCACAACATTTTGCCTGTTCATCCTTTACTAATAGCTAGACAGCTGCAAAACATCAATGGTCCTCCTTTACAACAAAAGACAAAACACATTTAAGGAGAACAAATCTATTCCTAAACATAGATCACATGATACACTAAAACCATTGAATAGTGCAAAACAAGGCAGGCAGGTAACACAGTTATGCTTTACAAAAATAAAACTTCTTCCTCCTCTGTCCTCCTGCTACAACAGATGGAAGACATCAGAGAGAATCAATGTCACCCAGGGTAATGTACAATCAATAATGCAGTATGATGTCTGTGAGACGTTGTTAAACATGACAATGTTCTAACAGTTCCCCACATTTACATCAGACACAAACACAGAGTAACATAATGACATGTCACTTGGATAGAGCACAAAGTCATTCTCTGTAAGCTACATTTACTCTATCATTCTGAAAGGAGATCAAAACATTTTCCTTTCTGAGGCTGCTCTTTTACATGATCAAGTTATTGATCCGATCAGTAATCTTAGTGTTCGTAATATGTTTCCACCTGAAACAGATGTGAATGAATGATAGAAATGCACATTTTATGAATTAATCTGCAAAAATGGGCAATGTTTGTGTATTTTGTCTTCATTGTGGCCACCTGGATCAAGATTTAATACTTGTATTACCTACATTATGCTACATACAGTATTTCATATGTAGAATGTGTTGGGTATCAAATCAATACAGATTATTCCTACATTACAGGATTTTACACACATGCATATTATACAGTGTTAAATCTTTTCATATGGCCATGACTATAATTTAGAAGCATTGCTTGCATAATCTCAAGCAAACCTTTTCTTCAACATTTACATCATTCTTGCAGATTTTATTACATTGGTTTTTTTTTAGGCCACAAAGTGCATCTTTAAAGCACGAGACGACTGAGGCACATCATAACACAAAGTCTACAGTACAGATGTTAGTACATTTGAATCCTTTCAAGTACAGCTAAAGAGAGGGCTTTGTTGGCCTTGTGACACAGCAGTTATGAGGCCAAAAAAATAAAGATGAAGGCATCTGAAAGCGTTTGAAATTAATCATCAGTATTTACATTGAAATCACCTCACATTCACAAAAGACATTTTGACATAAGTTTAGTCTGTCAGGCACTCACTGACAACGCTCATCGTCTGTCACAGCAGTAATGTTGCTCTTCGATATCCATGGACTCTCATGGTTTAAATCTTTTATACATATGTACACGTCACTAACGTAAGGCTGAAACCTTTAAGTCTAAAATGGTCAGATTTTTATCACATCCTGAATTTGGGTGCAAAACCCAACCTGTTTTTCAATTATTTGAGTATATTTGTTTGATATTAAAAAAGTACAACTGTACCATTTGATCAACCAAAAGTAAAGCCCCTAGTTTTTCTAATTTAGTCACTAATGTGGGATCACAATTGGTAGTTTAAATAGTTCCATCCAACAATGCTAAAATCAAAGGCCTCTGAAAAGTGTTTCATTGTGGGGTACACTAACATTTTTGTTTAAGTCCTTGCCTTGGCTCTTGATGATGTAATATTACAGTACGAGCACATACACAGAGCAACTTAAAGCTGCCAACAGTTTTCATGGTGACGTACTTCTTGTAACAGAGCAGTAAACCTCTGACAGTAAGGAAGAAGTAGAATAAGGGATCACCATCTTGATCACTAGTAATGACAACACTAATTGTCAGCTGGATGCTGGTAAAACAAGGAAGCACGTGTTGACTTGTTGGACGACTTCTTTGAATCTGTTTCTGTGAAAGGGTTCATGATCCATGCGTCTGTCTGAAGAGAGGGAATATTTTCAGGATTGGTAAAGTATATAACATGACAATAAAAACATGTTGTTGATCATTGAACTTGAACTGATAATTCAAAGAAAATATATATGTGCAACTTTGTCTCTGCCTGGTGCAAAATGGTCTCCAAGCAGTTTTCTGCACCAATTCTTAAAAGGATACGTCACCCATTTGCATTAAGCTTTTTATGATTAGAAACCTGGTAGTATTTTTGAATGGTCGTGCATCCCGCCCTCATTTTCCCCTGAGATGGGGAATCTTTGTATTTCTAAGTCTGAAAAGCAGCTTCCAGTGACGCAAAATGACGATTTTTGCCTCACTGGAAGCTGTTGCGGTTAGCAGGGTGAAACTACATCGCTAGTTCCTCATATTTTCGACCACTGAAGCTACAGACCAATCACAGATCAGTGGGTGGGAACTCAATAAATAATAGTGGCGAGGCGGCTGCTGCCGACAGGGCTGTCTTGTGTCTTGGCTCCTGCCGCCGCTGGCCGCCCTGGCCACCGCAGCCGAGAAACAAAACCAGCCTGTTGGCAGCAAACGTCTCGCGGCTATATTGCTATATTGCTGGACGCCGCCGGCCGCTGCCAGCTCTGCTAGCCGCCAGGGCCACAAGCTGCCGCTAGCCGCCCCTGGAGAAACTGTAACGATTGAATTTCCCTCTGGGATTAATAAAGTATTTCTGATTCTGATTCTGAAATAAAGGACCTTAGTGGGAGTGGCCTGCAGTGCTGTGCATTCTGGGATTCGGTGTCTTTCATCCACATGAGCCAAAAAGACACTTTCTGCCTTTTCTCGGCCAAGAAGGCACCAACTTCAAAATGTATTTCACAATTCTGCTACATATACGACCCAATGTCAATACAGATTCATGTTTCAATGGGTGAAGTATCCCTTTAAGGGTTTAAAAGCATTAACGTTTTGAATTTGTATTCCTATTTTTAATAAACACAATTTGTATACATTTTTGACAAAAAGTGATCTCTTTTTCAATATCTTTTTAAAAAATTAATCACACATACAATCCGCCTTTAAAGTCCTTGAAATATAATAAATGCCGAAGTCAAAACCTGCCTGATGTGGATTGAATGTTTAATGAATTGAAGCAGACGTAGAGTCAGATTGATTCTGAGTCCTTTCATCAAAGTCAAAGTCTTAGTTTGCCTTTTTGTCTGTGACTGTTATTGTAGAATATCATTGCTGTTTGAGTCCTATGATCATTATTAGAGGCTGACAGCTTTCCAGTTCCACTGTGCTTCTGTTACTAACCCTCTGCAAGCTGCCTTAAACCAGCTCATGAATTATATTGGTCATCAACTCTCTGGCTCTGAAGGGTGCTGCTGGTATCAAATACTTACACTATATGTTCTATGAAGATATCATTTAAAAATAAATCTTAGTCACAGTTTTCTCATTTGAACCGGTCAATTAACAGTGCAAAGTATTTGTTATCAGCTTCTTCTTTATAGAAAACATTTTTTTAAATAAAATCTTGGTTTGTTGGTAGAATCACTGTTACAGTTAATACAGGACTCTTGTATAATAAGGTCAGAGGAGTAATACCGTAAAGAGAAGGGAAGCTACTCCAAAAGGCTCAGAACTGATATTCTTCCTGACAGTGGGGGACTATCAAGTCGATGAATGTGAAACAGGATTTAAATGAAAGTTAACAAATGTGATGGATCTTTTTGCAGTGAATTCTACTTTAAACATTGCTGCACATGCAGACTTCTTTTTATTAACTGACAGGGTAGCTTCCTTTTCCTCTATGAACCCGCACAGTCTTTTAAATAAGTTACTTATTATGTTTGTTTAAGGTAATAAATATGTTGCAGTATTTCTTATTGAAGGAAAATTATCACTCAATACCAATACATTTTCTTTATAAAGCATGTTAATGACACAAGTTAATGTAACAAAGGATTCATTTTTACTTGTGTAATTCTTTAGCATAGTTTATTTATTTACTTGTTTATTTGACATGGACATACAGTAACTTTGGTACTGTAACTTTTAACCATGCACAAGTCCCAGATGCACTGTTCTTAGGATTAATAGCAAAATGCTCATTTGCATCACCTGTCCACAGGAGACAAAAACACATTAAGACACCAATAAGAAATACAAAGGTAGTTGATATTACCTTTAGCTGCAAAGCTCGGTCCTCCTCATAATCCTTGATCTGCTATCACAGACTTCGGCCTGAAAATAAAAATAAAATAGTAGAAACTTAATTGAGAACTTTTTTAAGTTGAAATGATGTCAATGTGTAAAAAAAAGATTAATAAACTAGATTTGTATTAAAATAAAGGGCATACTTTTACCTCTCTGACTTTTTAATTGGCTGTTGTGGTACTGACTGCTGCTGTTCCTGCTGTCTGCACTCCTGCTCCATCCTACACACACACACACACACACACACACACACACAATCTATTGGCATGCAGTGGAACTATATAGTAGTAGTAGTGAATTTAATGCATAATCAAATTTAGAGAAGAAATAAAAATGTACTTTACCTTTCCTTGCGTGCTTTAATCCTCTCCTCGTCAAATCTGAAAATAATTTACGATGTCAGATCTTCAGTTAATCCTTCCATCCAGGTAAGAACTTAAGTACTCATCTTTACATTTTCTCAGACACATCAGAAGTCACATTAGATTTGTTCTTCTGGGATAGACTAACATGAATAATCCTATCTATTTAATGCAGCAGATTTGGGGTCAGCGCTGCAGCTCTGTGTCTCCACCTAGTGGTCAAAAATACTTACTGCACCACACACTCAGGAACATGGACGTGCTCCATGGGGACGATTTCTGCCAGTTCATCCAGACTGTGGACGTACTGGATCTTATTCATGAACTTCACACTGCAGAAGGTGACAGGGCGACAACAACAACAACACAAACACTGTAACAGTCTGTAAGTCACAGATGTCACAGTGATACATACAATATTATACTTTAATTAAACTTTTCTTTAGGATGCTTTCTTTCACATACAAATTAATCAGAATTTTAATCGTAGCTCCTTGTATAAAAGGGTCAGATGTTGTTTGATTAAATGCTGAGCACTAATAAGACAAATATGAAATCAGAGTCGGGAAAAAGTGCCCAAGGGGTCATTACAAAATCAAAAATGAATGCATTTAAACAGCAAATATATGACACAACAAAACCTGGTCTTCATCAGTAATCTGATGTTCTCTCAAATGTACATGATGGATATAAAGAAATTACAATATTACCTGATAAAGGGCCTAGAAATAGCTAGGACAGTGCGTATGAACCAAGTGGGATGAGCGATGACCAAAGACTTCAGGTTCTTCCTTAATCTGCCATCACAACACAACACAAAACAAAACGCCCATCCACAGTTTAGTAAGTATTGTACACAACTTGAAAGGCTTCAGCTAAAATGCTTTAACTACTATTAAAATAACAATTCTACAGTTCTGCTGTGTATGAAGCCTGTGAGTCTTCCACTGGCTGACAGCAAGTGACATATCTATACATTTTATGTTCGTCAGCATTTGTATTCAGCAATTAAACTAGCAATGCAGATTCTAATTCATGTTCAACATGTCACATGTTTGAGCAGTTTCTACACCGTTTCTCCTTTTCTCACCTTCTGTCAATCATTTGGTAACATTTCTTTAGCCAGCTGATCCCGGGCATCTTATTCCGTGGAGTGCCTCCGTTCATGTAGATGATCAGGTAATCTTCGGCAACCAGCATCTCCAGACTGCTCACCACATACCTGAATGAAAGGGGACAGTGTCATTGATGGGCTGTGGGACAATAGACGGGGACACAGACATGTAAAAATAATGTGGAATCAAGACAACATGATCCAGATGTTCCTAATAATTAAAAATTAGCAGTATGATAAGTTATCTAATTATCTATCCTTTCAAACTAAATGTCAGCAGCGGCACACTCACAGAAAGAGGTTTTCCATGATATAGTGGTAGTCTGGACAGCTGCTGTCAGGAAGGTAACAGGCAGAGAAAACAATAATGGCATTGAGGCCCTCTCCATAATAACCTGACGGGAAAGAGTTCATGTCCGTGTTAGATAATGCGTCAGACCATTAACAGCAACAACCGTAAAGACGAGATGCTATTTATGACCTCTTTAAATGAAGGCTGGTCTTATTATCTGTTTGACTTAAAAATATCAAGTATGACAAAGGTTGTTTATTTTGTAGGTTGATCCAGGTCCCTTCACTGACCTCCATGTGTGATGACCCGCATGTACGGTCTAATGACTTGCATGTCAATACGATGCTCCTGCTCCCCGATGATCACCGTCCTCCAGAGACGACCACTGTTTGCATTTCCGTCCTCATCAGCTTGTCCTGAGCCAGCACCAGGACCTGCTTTGGCTGAGGCCACAGGTGTGTCATCTGAACAGCCACAGAGACAGATAAGGTTATTAATTGTATCCTGAAATATTTATCACACTGCATACTGCTGGTACCAAGGAAGAGTGACAATTAACATTAAGGATTATGACTGGACTGTGTTTAAAAAAGTATTAAAAGTCAGTGATGTGGCTTACCATTATGAGAAATAAAAGATTTGAAATAATCGGCAGTAATCGGTCATGCTGTTACATTGAACAACTTGCCTTCCCACTCCAGCTCGTTGCCATTGGTGATGAACTCCAGTGAGTCCGTCTCGTCAGGGGTATCAATGTCATCAACATTTATGTCCAGGTCATCAGGCGTATCCAGGAAGTCATCTGACAGCAAAGAACCCTCACTCTGGTCCAGTGAGAGGTTCATCTCAGGTGCAACCAAAGTACGCCGTTTTCGGTGGGATGAGGATACACCGCCTCCTCCGGGTGGGCTCACATTCAGTGTGTTAGAGGGGGCTGCAGCAAGGCCAGTGGACGAAAACAGTTTAGGAAACTAAGCGTTTAAATGTTGTTAAATGAGGATATTATGATCTAACCCTTATTTGACCCTTTATAACACTCTGTTACTTACATGCCCTGTCGTCCGTGAGACCACAGGAGGGATCCATGTCGCCGTACTCTGGTAGTGGTCTAGAGGTAAACATACACAGATTAGCTTTCATGACATATAGAGTATAACATACAAATAAAGCCATTCAAATTTTTTCCAGGATTGATACATTTGGGTTATCAGCAAATACAATAGATTTTTATTTTAAGTTTAGACACTGCACAGACATAACTTCATTTAATTATAAACAGTTTGGGACCTAGCACTGAACCTTGTGGATCCCTAAAAATAGCCTTATGGTAAAATGCAACACAGTGATAAGGATGATGCTCAATGGACCAGTCAAAGTGTGGGTGTTGTCAATGATCTGCATAAGCACTTAAAAGAGGGGCACACAGAGAAGGATGGAGATGGTAATTATCTTCTCTCTGGGGAGAGATGAAGATTACAGGGCTGCCAGGCAGAGGACCTGATGGGAGAAGAAAAGAGGGGTGATAACAGACTGCGATTGAGAGGAGAAGAGGGAGGAAATCTAGTCTGCATACTGAAAAAGTGTTAAAGCTCTTAACACGCTGCCTGTTTTTTACTGCTCACACCCTACTTGCACATAAGGAGGAGCAGAAAGGATGTAAGAAATATGTGTGCTAATCAGTGTTTCTTTTAAGATGCACATTAGATGCTTTTACTTGCATGTTTGCGTTGCGCACACCTGAAAAAGGAACCAAAAAACTTGAAACCACATTTGACCTCTTAATAGGTAAAAATCCAAGGGGCACATGAAGCCCAAACACAGTATCTTAGCTGCATTTCTGTGAAAGTCAACTCCCATCAAGAGGAGGACAGTTTGTGATAGTGTGTGTGCCCCTACTGAGCCAACAACACTGGCTTAAGCCCCAAGAAACAGGCACTGATAAACAGCTCGACCCGTTCCCCTGGGGACGCCTGCAGTGATTACTGGTGCAACACTCCTTTGTCAGAAAGAAGCCCTTTTTATATACATACAGATTAATGGATTCATTTATTCTCTTAACAGAGACATAATAATCTTCTTTGATTGTATTAAGACTACATTTTCCTTTAGCTACAAACATATCAGGATGAAGCAGTGATGCTTACCTTCAGGGAATAGCAAACAGATGATTCAGCTGAGCTTTATAACCTCACACACCTTTGTATTTGGTTTGTCAACTCATCCCTTGAATTCTCAGCTGATAACAAACAGAGAGTCCAGAGCAGAGCATCTCTTGCAGACTACCTTAATAACCCATTTGCTGCGCCTCTGTCTGTCTTTAACCAAAACCTGCCTCCATTTTCCTAGCGATGCTCTGTTGTTGATCTGCGACTGCTGTAGAGTCACATGACGTAGCCTGAGACCATTTACAGACTGAGCTGCACCTGCTCCCTGGCTTCCTGCCTTCCAATCCGACAGAGGAGGAGGGAGGAGGAAAAGGGGGAGGAGGGAGCAGAGTACTGAGTGTCATCACACCTCTTTCCTGCTCTTTTTCTGCCCATCAAGCTCAGCATCTTTAGGATTAACTTCACACAATTTAACTAACGTTTTTTTCCCCCCTACATTTATCTTTCTCACGATTACACGTCTGTCTCTGGGGAATTATCGATAAGCTTTCTTATTATAGAGCGTCTCATTGTGCTCAAAATGCTACACATTAAAGTGATAATTAGCAAAACATCAAGACACAAAGCAAATCACTGCTAAAGCTTTTAAAGAAGAACTGAAGCCTTTCATAAAGTTAGGTAAAATAAAAATAGTGCCAATATTACATACATGATTAATGATTCTGTTATAAATTCTGCCAGGAAAAACATGTAGCAGAAGTTATCCACTTCAGATGTTTGGCATTTAAAATTCAAATTGATTTTTAATTTGAGGTATTTATGCATAAACTGAAATGTGCTGCAGTGCATAAACAAGAACATGCCCTTTAGCTGTAGGCAACACACAGCTCTAGAGATGCATCTTTTTTTAAAGATGTGTCATAGTACTCACATTTAAAAATCAACCAACTAGTTTAGATGATGATAACAAAGAAAAATATGTTTACTTCACCTGGGGAAGTCTTCATCCTGCCACTCGTCTTTTACCTCCATGTTCTCCATTCGTAGCGTCGCCTCGGTGGTGCCCATCCCTCAGAGAGGAGAGCCGGGGCCTGGAGGTATGAGCAGAACATTTATGAATGAAAAGCAACAACAACAGAGGAATACTGTCAAAAAGTCAGTGCACTTACTAGACGAACACTTCCATGGCCGCACTAAAGAAACACATGCCATCATCCTAGGAGGTATCATTTTCATTACAATTTGGGGGCTGCTGATCACATGGTTTTTATCCCCTTGCCCGGTGAAGCACATGTGAGAGGCATGTGACTGACTCGGACAGAGCCCACTTTCTGAGCTCAGAATTCTTTCAAGTGTAATATTATTTCCATATTCCTCTTGGGTGGAATTCAGAAGGCCAATGAGTCGGATGACATGTGGACCTAATCTCCCCCATTGATCCCTAATCCCACTGCTCTGATGTGACTGCTGGTTTTTTTGATGTCTACTCACACTGATGCTTTATGTAACTGATTATATTATAAGACAAAGGTCTAATTCATTTGTTTGTGCCAAAGAGATTGGAAACCATTTTTTAATCGGATTAATGTCTAGAATACAATGACTGTATAATAAATGGTGGCATTACGATGGACTCCACTCAACTGCTCCTCTAAATCATAGGATTTTACACTCATTTATTATTGCAACACACAAAAAATCGGAAGCTGGTGGCTGCTAAACTGCATGGGAGAATCATTTTTTCCATTAATACTGTTTTCTTTTTTGCTCTCCAGTCACGTCTAAAAATCCACACTGACGGTTGACAGAGGATTCAAATGTTTTGTCTAAGGTTTCACTTCAAAGCAGAGATGCAAAGTGTTTGTCAAAAGAATACAAACTAGCAAACCTAGTGAGATCTTGCACTCTTGCCTGCAATGCAAAATGTTCCTCACAGTAAGATGAGAATCAACATGAGCTACTGCTATAATTACAAGAAGGGGTATAGTGGCTTTGGTGGTTTTGGCAGCAACACTTGTGGCTGAGTATAAACAAGCAGACAACCAAGCCTCACAGAGGAAATCATTTTTATATGACACATGATTGTAACATGGAGCCAAACCCACGATCACATAACTTAATTGTTTGTAGCAGGTCCTATCAGATTCCACTTTGACAACATCCTTAAAAAATAAAACATCAGAATGTTGCACTATGTTGGATAAGCACGACGGATGAGAAGAATACAAATAAATAATCATCACTTTACAGACAGTGAGGTTCTATCTTTCTCAACTCATGTGTGACAAGCAACATTAATAAATGTAACGGTGAGTGATAATGTTCCTATTAAGCGTTCTACAAAAAAAGACCCTGTTCCTCTCCCGGTATTGTGGCTTCCATGTCAGCCTAAAATTACATACAAAGGCTACAACATGAATCCCTACCAAATGTGCAGCACCTCACCTTCACAGAGTAAAATGTCCCCAAAGCCTTTCTAGGTCACCCAAAATGGACGGGCCAATCCACAAACCAGAACTGATTCCACATGTAAGTGTACTATCAAATGTGCATCAAATCTGTCTGAGGTGTCTTGCTTGTGCATGGAGCAGAATGTAAATGCATGTATGTTAAGTCAGGGAATATACTCACATGGGCTACGTGAGATCCTATAACCTCTTGCTTATCTGCGTCCTTCCCCCTCCTCCTCCTCAGTCAAAGGCGTAAAGTATCTTGTGTAGAAAGTGCTGATCCCCCTCACTCACAGCAAACAGGGTTCAGGCTGAAATATCCCTCCTCATTCGCATGCACACACACTTGTGCACAGACACAGTCATACAGTGTCCCCAATGTCAGCGGCTAGCCAGCAGCAGGTGTCTGAAGACAGGCAGCACCTCTGTGCTGAACCCCCTCTCCTCTCCTCCGCCTCTGGCCATGAACCGTTGTTGGTGAAAGACTGGCCGTGAAGAGTGAGCCGACAGCCTGCCTCTCCACTCCTACGTCCACACCACAGAGACACAAAATTCCTTTAACCAAAATGCATCTGCTCTGGCACCATGATCTCCCTCCCCCTATCTCCCATTTTCTCTGCTTGTAGCTCCAAATGCATTTTGAGTGACTCTTTCCACTTCCACACATCAAATCAAACCCTTTTTTCAACTGCCCTCTGTATCCAATTCTCTCTTTGGAGAAAGCCTTTATATCCCTTCAGCAACTTCAGAAAAATAAGCCCAAGTCTATGTGTCCCTCTCTCCATTAGACAGTCCTGCTGTTGTTTCAGTGGTCCTCTATGTGGCTGCTGTTCCCTGGCAACAGCATCTCTCTCTCTCTCTCCATCCACAGCTTCACCCCTCCTTCTCTGACTCCTCATCCCAGCCTTCTCTACAACCTACCCACTATACCCGAACTCTCAACACACATTGAAAATATCTCATTTATAAGTTCACATGCACCCAACCATAATGTCACTCCTGCTCAGTTTTCAGCATCAAATATACAATTTCTGTTCCACACATAATTAGGTCCTGGTAGCTGTGCTAATCCTACAAGCTGCAGTAGTAATTCTACTCGGGTTAATTCTTTTATCTGACGTTTTTATCCCTCTTAATATTTACAGCCTAATTTACCCTCGGCAGTTCTCAGTTTTGTTCTGCCCTTGGGTTGACTCCTTATAATTCAAGGTCGTTTTTGTAAGCTATTTGCAATATTAAGATTTCCAGACACCCAGTGGACAACGGCCTGCCTCCTTCACTGACTGACTGCCTGGTTGTTGGATTAACACAAACCAGTATCTTCAACATCAGTGCAAGCGTGACTGACACACGCAGCATTCCGCAGAAACCGCAGGTAAATAAATTACACACGAAGCAAGAGCATGCTCTGTAGCATACCTCCGCTTCCGCGTAAACATCGTTTGCGATAGTTTCTTCCCAACTGAAGAGCTAAATACAACAAAAACTCTCCCTTGCTCTGTTCTATCCTTTGTTTTGTTTCATTGTTAATCCTGAACTCTGCATTTACATTTTGCATAATGTTTCCATTGTTAACTTTGTCTCACAAGCAAAACAGCGTCCTTCTCTTAGACGCTTGTATTTCCAATTGCGCATGCGTTAAATGCCATGCAGAATAACAATAATAGCATGGAAATAAATGTATGACAAAAATGTTTTAATCAGTCGGCATAATACGCTTAAATATGAATTCCTGGTTGTGTATATAGCGCACTCAGTACGTGTGTTAAATGTGTGTGTCGTTCGCAGTTCCGGTGTCTCAGACGACTGTTTCCATTGGCTGCAGTAAAGCAGTGAACTATCTTGACCATCAGGTTTTCGCTGCTGTCTGGCTGCTGTACTGTACTGGTGATGCCAAGATGGCTGCAAGCAACTATTTCGGCTTCACACATGGTGCCGGCCCGCAGTACAGGTAATTCCGGTGTTGTGGGTTGATGTCAGCGTGTGTTTTGGGGCATATATATCAGTCGCTGGTGTAATGTGGTAGAGACAAAGTCACTGGAGCGGTGTCACTGCGTAGCGGGTTAGCTTGTCCCGCTAGGTCTTTTAGCTCACGTCCGCTAGCTGAGCTTTGCAGGCCAACGCTGATTGACATTAGGTTACCCCGGGACGGTCAAAAGCGGTCAAAAGGCGGATATTACCGGGTCTTACTTTAAAGAATAGTGAAACAAACAACAAATGTTAGTGTTTGAAAGTGTCATGCTGCTGGTTTGGACTGTCTGGGTGCAGCTGTTGTGGGTGAGATTGTAGCCGGTGTTTAGGATTAATGGTCATGATGAAGCTTTACTGGAGGTCCAGTGTCTCTCAATTAGTGCTTCTGCATGTTTAATAACCCGATGCTACCACAAGAGAAGCCTACCGAGATGCTTTTATGAAGGAAGAGAATAATAATAACTCTTGTTCATCTTGTACAATCTTGCATAGGTTGGTGTTTTTGGCAATGTCGTGTGACAGACAGGTAAACCATATAACTTCCCAGTTTGACATTTTATCAGATATAATTAGCATTTCTTTTTGGCTTAATGAGCACTATTGTGGTTAATTAACTCTGAAAGGTTTCCGCTTTTGTGAGTTGTTTTGGTATGTTGGCAATCATTCAAACCAGCAATCCTGACAAACAGGACTGGTCTGTTTTCTCTACACCTCATATTCCTTCATGTGTGTCTCTGTGCATGTTTCACACAGTTTAACCAAAGTCTATTCTTCTAATGATTTAAATTAGTCTCAGGCAGGCAAAAAAAAAATATCAACACAGTCAAATAAGTCAATGACATTAATGATAATAATAATAATAATAATAATCACTTTATTTATAAAGCGCTTTAAATCAAAGTGCTGTACAAAGCAATACAGTTAAAATACAGGAAAAGACATACAGAGAAAATCATGACTCATACTCAACAGTAAACAGATGGGTCTTTAACTTTGCTTTAAAAACCTCAACAGAACAAGCCTGCCTAATGGCCATAGTAAACTGTTCCAAAGAGTCGGTGCACGGAAAGAAAAAGCCTGCTCATCAACTGTCTTCTTTCTGACCTTTGGGACACTTAAAAGACCTGTATTTTATATTATATATATATTAAGCTACATACAGTACAGATTGGGTTTTCGCAGTGTCATATGATGCTGACTATAAGCAGGATCACTTATGGTGGAGGACCACTTGCCAAGACAACCTACTTTAGGTTGCAGCAAATCCAAAAAAACCCTTGTTAATTCAAAAGCAGATGCAAAAGTCCCAAACAAATGCTATGACGGAAATGTGCTGTAAATGAAGGAATGTGCTTCAAAAAGCAGAAATAACTGCATTAACATCAAACACGCTGCTGCTAATACTTAAATTGTACACAATGAAACATAAATCTACTCAGAAAACATCTGCATTAAGTGAAATACTTCAATGAAAGTGCTCCAAGCACTCAGTTGAATGAATTTGTTTTAATCCTTAAATCCTGATTGAAAAAAAAAAATCTACATTGTCAAATTAGTCAGTGATTTGGAGCTACATACAGTACAGAGAGGTTTCATTGTCATGATGATGCTCACTTTTAACAGGATTACCTACGGTGGCTGATGAGGGTAACCCACCTGCAACAGCAGAGAGGAAATGCATACAGGAATAACGTTCAGAAAATTCAGTGTATCAGTTTATAACAAATTAGTTTTGTACTTTTCTAGAAACTCAAAGATGCTTTGACAAGGGAAAAAAAAAACTTCAATATCAATCTATAATACACATAGATGACAGAAATACCCAGATATTTAATTACAGTAACTTCTGATATTTTTTTATTAATGTGTAAATTTATGTTGTATTGGTTAAGAACAAAGTGACCTCAAAATGTATTTAACCAACATTGTTTAGACAAGTGGGGCCTCTGTTCACCGCAAACACCGGTATGGTGGTATCCACAGCGTCTCCTCATGACTGGGGCTTCATTCATTACATTGGACCTAATCGATCTCAGGATTTTCTGAATCCATATTGAATTGGGATAAAAAAAATATTTTAATGCATTGATGAATTGATGTATTGATATTAAAAACTTGATATACAGTATTGCATAGCCCCAATAGGATTCATTCACAGGGCATGACAAATAAAACCTAGTGATGAATCCCCTGACTTTTTCTATATCGCCTCTTCAACTTTCAAATTAGTTGTTATGAGACTATGATTTCATCAACTATTGGATGGATTAGCAGTGAAATTTAGTAGATGGTAAAACTAGTCATGTCTTGCTTAGAATTGAGTGCTTACTTTGGCATGTCCCTGACTTTTTAAGCTGTCGAACATCAGCATTTAGTTAAAGCACATCTCTAATTTATTGAAATATTACAGAGCCACGATGGTAGTTTTTGTTTGAAATTACAGAATTTTCATATCAGGATCAATCAGAAAGGACACTGGATTCTTGTTGAAGTAGAGTAGAGCAGGAAGGGACTTTGGTTTGTTTTTGACTGTTATTAATGTGAATTGATTTACCCAAAGTAAAGACTCAGGAAGTCCCCACACACAAGACATCTGACTTCTCTAAAGTTTAATGTCGTTCATGAAGTTCCTATGACAGCAGTTCTAAAGTTGACCTTCTTGTTTCACTTAACTTCTTCTCCTCTCTTCTTCATCAGTACTCAGCCTCCCCCGGCCTATTCCCATCCCTCCACAGCCAGTTACAGCGTCCAGCAGGCGCCGGCTGTTGCTCATGCTGTGACTGCCTCCTACTCTCCAGCTCCTGTCCAGGCAGCTAGGCCTGTGGTCTCTGCCCCTTACCCTGCCTATCAGAGCCACCAGGCCCCCCCGGATTATGCCTACAGGCAGCCAGACCCCCCTGCACCACCGCAGCCAACGACCACCCCACAGACGTACCAGGTATACTCGGACACGGTCAGTCTGCTTTCTGCTTTTTATTCTCGTCTTGCATGATTTGATTGTTTTGGAATTCATGTATGTTGTTTTGAGTCATTTAATAAGACTCTTAAAAAAACAAAAAAAACAAAAAACAAGCAGACAACAAGGCATGCCCCTTTTCCACCAACTTTCAAAAACATTGTGTCATTTTTCCCTAAACAAGCACAGCACATGTCACTCCACTGTTCATCTCCCTCCACTGGCTACCAGTTACTGCTTGCATCAAATTTAAAACTCTGCTGCTCGCTTACAAAGCCTAAACTAACTCATCCAGGTCGACACTCCCTCCCGCCCACCACGTTCTGCCAATGTAAGGCATCTGATCCAACCTTCACAACGGCTCCCTACGTCTCTCACTCTTCTCCTCTCTCACCCTTGATAGTGGAACGAACTACCAAACTCCACTCAACCTGTAGAATATCTTTGCACCTTTTAAGAAAAAAGCTGATGCTTGATGATGACGATATGTTTTTTGTGCTGATTAGAACTGTCAAGAGCAGCTGTCGATGCTGTTGATGATATGTTAACTTTAATGAAAAAACAAACAACTGTACTTTGCCTCTGTGCAGTGCGTGTCAGCGTCGTGTGTCCGATCAGAAGTAAGCTGTTCATTTGCACTTACTGACGTTGCTTCCTCCTCTCTAGATCTTGCTTGTGTACTTGCACTCTGATGTTTGTCGCTTTGGACAAAAGCGTCTGCTAAATGAATCGTAGAATTGTAGAAACAACAATGTAAATGTACATGATGCTTTTAGATCACACACAGTGGCTATAATGAAAACGATGTTTACCAATGCTTCTAACACCAGCAGGACAACTACAGCTATGGGCGCCCTGCAGCTGTCACTACCTATGACAATAAACAGTACTACCAGACGAGTATAGCACCGGCTCAGAGGACACCCACAGAGAATTACTACCAGACAGGTGAGTTTGTTTATTGTTACTCTAATGATGTGTCCACATGACTTTATGTCAGGGCTAAGTCATGAAGGATTTTACAGATCAAGTTTGTCTTCAAGTCTTGGGGAGTGCTGCTTCACAGGGGCCTATTTAAAATCTGATAACTTGCTGTGAGTGATGTCACTTGGAAAGCATCCTTATGTCTACTTGAGGCTATTAGTTTGAGGCTACATTATCAGCCGCTACCAGCATAAGACACCAAATATCTCTGACCCATGGATTATTTATAAGAAGTGAACGTAACCTCTTGGTTTCAGATGTGAAGCCCACACAGAACTGTTTTAAAGCTGCATTCTTTCTCATGGCCGGCAGGAGGCGACTGCACTGGTTCTGAAAGAATTCATACAATTCATAAGGAAGCAGATTAAAAGACTTAATCGGTATATTATATAGCAGCGAAACAAGGCATAGATCATTTGTGTTGCTTTTGCCCCCTTTTTTTAGTCGTCTCTGCTCAGCTCAAACTGTGAGAGTGTCTTAAGAAGTCGTGTTCGTGTGTCCATGTTTCTGCTTGATCATGACTCATCTCTCTCTACCCACAATGTTGTGTTTCAGTAGGGGTAAAGAGTGCTTACAGTCCAGCTCCTTCCACTGTGTACAACCAACCTCCTCCTCCCCAGAGGCAGGTAACAGCACTTAAACCTCTGGTTCCCTCCAGCCCTGTTTCCACCAGCTATAACATCTACCCAGTGTCCACCAGTGTCCAGCAGCCTCCCACACCCATTTCATCATACACCCTTGGATCCTCCTTTGGATCCACTGTTTCTGCCACCACCTATTCAGGTAATGTTTGTTAAGACACAAGATAAGATGGATCACCAGTCATAAAAAAAAAAAAAAAAAAATTTGTGACCAATATGCTTACTATACAAACTATATTAGATACTGTGTGTGTTTATAGAGGTGTCATATTACCTGTTTACAAGCTCTGCAACATATAACTCATAGTTTTCAGTCATGTGATTGGCGCAAGAGATCAGGAAAGGGGTTGCCACCATTGATCAATCAGTGGAGCTACAGCAGAGGCTTGTTAAATGACACAGGTTTACATCACCTGACAAGCGCAGAAAAACAGAGATATTATGATCAACTGCAGGTTTTGAGCACTTGTAACCGCAGGGTTTTATTTGTCAAATGGGATAATTTAGAAGTACAACCCAGGCTTGTCTCTTCATCAGTTAGTGATTCCAATTGAACAACAGCCTTCTTTTGTTTAAAAAAAACAAAAAACACAACTGGTTAAAATACGTCGGAGGCAACTGAGACTGGCTAATCTCTCTGTAGCGTGCAGCAGTAGGAAGCATTTCTTGCCCTACATTCACCTGCAACACTGCTTCAGTATAATTTTGTTGCATAGTTACTTGCACACAGTAGTTGATACATACTTCTTTAAATTGGTTGTGCTTAAGGTCCAAGGGTGGTACAAAATGTTTTTCTAAGAACTTGCTAACACGGTGACTTACTGAGTTTGTAGGTTAACCACTAAAGCAGGCAGGGATACTTCTAACATGCCAGCCAGGTGGGAACCTGCTACTCACAGAAGAAGCTCTTTGAGTTAACTTCTATGAACTCTGAACTGGACAGTTGTTGCCCCTGGCATCATTTTATTTAGTTAGGATAAGGGTGAAGGAGTTTGCAGATTGATGCCGTACTGGAGTTAAATTTGGAGTTGCTTATTACTTGCTTGATGTTGATTCAAAGAACATATTAGGAATGCTTAGGTGCTTCTTGGTGCAGCTTATTGCCTCATGGCTGCTGGCTGTTTGAGTTTGACCCACATCTTATATGCTCTCTCTCTTCTCTCTTTCCCTTAGGCATTAGCTACTCTACTTACGATTCAACTGGCTACACCTCCACCTCCACCCCCTCCTATTACCAGCCGGCCCAGCAGACTCTCACCCAGCCGCAGCCTCCACCTCAACAGCCACAGCAGCCACAACAGCCTCAACCCCAGCCCCCCATCCAGCTCCCACCCAAGCAGCTCACAAGCTCTTCCTGGAGCAATTCAGGCAGCAACATGGTGACAGCTCCAGCTGTGAACACCTACAAAAAGCCAATGTTTCACCAAAACAAGCTGCAGAAGCCTAAAGGGCCCCCTAAACAACCCCAGCTCCATTACTGTGACATTTGCAAGATCAGCTGTGCAGGCCCTCAGGTAGGATCATGTTATTTAGTTTCTAAAAGGCTTTTGATATGAAAGCTTTATTATGTTGTGTGTTGTTAGAAAAAAGTTCACAGGAAATACAATATTAACCTTTAGGTGCAGAATACAACATTTTATTGTCAATGCCAGCATTCAACATACTTGCATAGTTGGTTGACATTGTTAAGTATATGCTATTGTCTGTTTGGATTTCATTTCATTGAGTCCCATCTCATCAGAAAAATAATGAAACGTAACACATTCATTAGTTTTTGGGAGTGTACTAACAGGTTTTCATTTACCACATTAGACGTATCGGGAGCACCTTGAGGGCCAGAAACATAAGAAAAAGGAGGCAGCTCTGAAATCTGGGGGTCAGGCGGGTCCAAGTAATGGTCCACGAGGAGTTCAGACTCAGTTACGCTGTGAGTTATGTGATGTCTCCTGCACCGGAGTGGACGCCTACGCCGCCCACATCCGTGGGGCCAAACACCAGAAGGTTAGTTCTACTATGATGCTTTTATATTTAAAGGGATACTTCACCCATGGAAACATGAATCTGTATTGACATTGGGTCATATATGTTGTAGAAATGTGAAATACATGCCTTCTTGGCTGAGAAAAGCCAGAAAGTGTCTTTTTGGCTCATGTGGATGAAAGACACCAAATCCCAGAATGCACAGCACCACAGGCCACTCCCACTAAGGTCAGGTTTACAGACATATTTATTTCAACACATAAGGCTGTTTCCTCAACTGATGCCGAGATTTCTTCCAGAAGGAATTGGTATCTTGGAAATTCCTGTCAGAAAACAGACTCTATGTCTGTGTCCATAGGCCAGTCCGCCCCGGTTCCTCGTCCTCACCGCCGCCGACAGGCAGGCCTTATGTCTCGGATGCTGGCGGCCAGGGCCCCTGTGGTCAGCGGCGGCAGCAGCCAAGACACAAGACCGGCCTGTCTGCAGCCGCCATCTCGCCGCTGTATTTATATTTTTTCGGCATTATCAGCTTTCTCCATAGAGCCTGTTAGCATAGCTTCCAAACAATATGGCAGACTTTAAGTTTCGATTCTGGGAGTGAGTTCCCACCCACTGATCTGTGATTGGTCTGTAGTGGTCGAAAATATGAGGAACTAGCGTTGTAGTTTCACCCTGCTATCCGCAACAGCTTGACGTAAAATGACGATTTTTGCGTCATTTCCTTTTCAGACTTAAAAATACAAAGATTTCCCGTCTCAGGAGAAAATGAGGGTGGGATGCATGACCATTCAAAAATACTACCAGGTTTCTAATGATACAAAGCTTAATGCAAATGGGTGAAGTATCCCTTTAAGTGTTTCAATACTGGTTTAAGAAAATACTGGCAGTCGTAGATGCTATTGTCGTAACATGCTTTCTGTATTGGACAGGATTTTAGTGTCCTCATGTAATGTTCCTTCTGAACTGCCAAGCCTTGGAACAAAATCCCACCCAAGAGATTTGAGGTATCAGATGCCTTTAATGGTTGAGTCTGCTATTGTGTGTCTTCTTTAAACATGGAAAGGTGGTGAAACTTCACACCAAGCTGGGAAAACCTATACCTTCAACTGAGCCAGTGCTGGTGAATTCAGCTCCAGTTGTCACAACCTCGACAGCTGGCAAACCTCAAGTCTCCACGTCCACTCCTTCCTCTGTATCAACCACTACAACTCCCAGTGTGACCCCCAAACAGGTGGCCGTAAATACCACGACCAAAACAACAGCACCAGTCAGGAAACCAGCTCCATCCAAAATAACTGTCATTTGTAAGTCCACTCGTGTCTTTTCAGATGACAAGGCATGCTTTTTTTTTACCCATATATTATTAAATAACTGCTGTTCAATGACCCATCAGATGTAAATGTTGACATTAATGCACTTCTTACTGTACTTCGTACCCACCCTGTATGTTTAAATTACAACGCAACTTATTTTTTAGTTAGGTTTGATTTACTTCAGACTAGGAGTGCAGAAATGCAAAATTTTCTGTAATCGATTACTCGAGTGAATACTTTTTTTTTTACTCTTTTTTTCTGTGATACTTTTCCCCCACGGGAGGCCCCGCCCCCAACTATGACGCGATGCTGACTGTATTTGTTGATTAATTTGAATCTTCAGGATTTTAATAATTGTTAGTAATGGGCCTTTGTATTAACGTTCAAATTAGGATATTTCTTACTTCAACAGACAGCAAACCTCAAATAAAAATTCACACAGACGTATCTTCTGACCGTTTTAACACTTTGTCATAATTAGAGCAGTGTGGTGAGCGGACGCGCAGACCTCAATGCACACTCATCGCACGTTGAAGCTGTTTTGACAGCAACATTCTGTTAACAAAGACTACAGTCTGCAGTGTAGAGCACACTTTACTCTGGTAAATGAAGTTACAATAGAACAGGTGAACGATTTAAGTGTCTGTTTCATCTTTCTCCTCTGTGCGTAATGACACACTCGCTCAATCTGCTCGTCCGTCCGCTATGAGCTATTTCTCCCTATAAGATTGTTCCGTTTTGTAGTTATTAAAAGATAAACATCTAGTTATGCTGCTCTGTCCTGGATGATCAAACGTCTTTTGGTTTGGCGGAGTAAAGCGGTAATCGCAAAGTGAAAGTCCTTCTTTTTCTGTGGACTAAAAAAGACAATTTGAACTGCATTTTCGTAGATCATATTGCATATTTTGTTTGGGACGTTTTGTTCATTGTGAATTCATAAAGGGGTTAATTAAAGGGATATTTTTGTTAGGGTAGCAGCGTACAGATCAACAACGGACGTGTTTCAGCACAGAGCCTTTATCAGCGCTTTGTTTGTCACTTTTCATTTTGTGCTCGTGCACCTGAAGTTTTATTTCTGTTTGAGTGTGCTCCTTTTTTTAATTAGGCCTATCCTAGAACCCACAATGCCACAAGAAACAATTACAAAAATGTGGACTACAAAACGATTATCAATTACATTTTTTTTGTAACCGATTATTATTGAATGCACCCCTACTTCAGACATACTGTATATCTTATGACAAAGTGTTTCTCCACCTTAGAAATAAGGTTCTGCTGAACAGTTGCAAGGTGAAAGGTGAAAGGTTTACCCTGGTGCTAAACTGCAGTGATGTGCCGGTTTGAACAAGATTAAGTAGGCGCTCTTCATCCTCTACTTAAGTCATCACCAAATGGCAGACCCTGGTATAAATCCGCTCCCAGGTTTATTTTGATGAGCGCACCTACAGTGCAGCATATGATGCTTTGATGTTAGTCTATTGTCAACGCCGCAGCTTTACTTGCCTTTTCGGTTGTTAACTGCTTGCAGACGTTCATACAATTAATGAGCTCCTTCAAAATATACGGTACTGACTCACATGCTAATTTAGACATTGTGTGTTCCAAACCTTTGCTCGAGGAAATGTTCTTGAACCAGAACTTTTCAATTTTACTTGAAGACCCCTGCTCTGCTTCAACACTATTCTAAAGTTGAACTCAATTGATGATTGCAGCTGGAGGATACAGTGTATCGGTTATTCTTAAATTAAAGCAATCTTATCTTAAAAAAACAGGAGGGGGGGACTATTAAAATTGTATGCCTCTAAGTTAAAATTTTGACAGTATTTATTTAAGTGCCTGAAAGATCTTTTCATCAACCTTTGGAATATAATACGAGAGAAATTACAAATACTTTTTGTTCTCTCTAATCTGTTTAATCGTGTCTGCCATGTAGCCAATAAGCCTGCCAGCGCTCCTGTGGCTGCAGTGACGGCAGCACCAGCTGTGGTCGTTGTGGCTGCCAAGGTGGAGGAGCCCATGCAACAGTCAGCTCAGAAGTTAGAGCCTCAGAGTGATGACGAGGATGGTGACAGAGCTGGCCAGGGAGACATCCAGCCAGTGGGACACGACTATGTAGAGGAAGTAAGAAAAAAAAAAAAAAGGGTATCATATAAATTGCTACATAGACAAATGAATTACTATAACTACAGTATCAGAGAAATGTAGCTTAATAAGCAGATACAAATACTTTTTGCACATTATGATTTAATAATGGTGGAGTTAATCATACAGGGCTTTCACAGTTGCAGAAAATTCATTAGTTCATTGGCTAATGCTCAAACATTTTGTTTGATCGTTACATGCTTTGTTTAGGGGTTTCTTTTTTCAAAAATTAGTCTACACCTGTGTCTTTATATGTCTTTTATACAGCTGATATTTTAAAGACGTTTGTGCAAAGTTCTTTAAATGAATACAGTCCTGTAATTTGTAAAGCATTTTCCTCAGAGAAGCTTGGTCTCTTACATTTTTAAAAACACATGTATACTGTATTTCCATTTCACCAGTGGTCTAGTTTTGATCAAGATTTTATTTATTTATTATTCAAGTATCAATAATAATTCTGACTAGGACTTAATTGTAGTAATTATTCTGTATTTATAGTTAGTGTATGAGATTATTTATGTTGTGTTAGTTGTCTGTATCTGAACAGTCTGTGTGTCTCAGGTTCGTAATGATGATGGCAAGGTGATCCGCTTCCACTGTAAACTGTGTGAGTGCAGCTTCAATGACCCCAACGCTAAAGACATGCACCTGAAAGGAAGGAGGCACCGACTGCAGTACAAAGTAAGAGAGTAGAAACATCAGTGGTGCATATTTTTGAAGATTTTGTATTTTAAAAAACAACAAATGTCGACTGTGTTCTTGTCCACAGTATCATTCAAATAGTGTAGACATACACAAAGGTTGCTCTGTCTTTTCTCAGCACACATTCTGTGTTTTTGCTAATTAAGTGAAACACACAAACCAGGTGTCCTCAGTTACATATGTATATCTTTTTTTCAAATGATTACTCTTGATTCAACTATTTATTTACCAGAGTTCACACATGCTTACCATTTAACCAAAGCTCACAAAATATATTTTTAACAGCTGCATTCAGACAGTAAATCATGTCGTCAATTAAAGGATAGAAGTGTGTTATTGACCTTATTGATGCACAAAGTTTGCAGCGAAGGAGATTGTCTTATGGGGCCCTGCAGAGTTAAACTAGTGTTAAACTCTGCAGCCCTTAAGAGCTGTATATGGAAGCACTGGGGTGAGAATCAGATGCTCACAACAAAGTGATTTACAGCCCAATCAATGATATCCCACCACTCTACTGATCAGCAGAATGCAGCAATATGCCGATTTATTCTGTCATTTACCAGCAAAGCCAGGAAGTCTTTTTTAATTGCAAGCTAGTTAACATAGATTTTAAAAAATCATTAAAAATATTTGAAAAATTGGTTTGTAGGGGCGCAGATGGCCTAGTGGTCAGGTCTTGCCCCATGTACAGAGGCAAAAGTCCTCCAAGCAGGAAGCCCAGGTTCAAGTTCAAGTCTACGGTATCCACTGTCTTATAGATAAGGCATAAAGCCCCCTAAAATAATTCTTGTAAAAAAAATTGCTTTGAACCAATTTTACGAGGAAGGACATACACTCAGCACGGTGTTACATTTCAAGGACAAAGTGATTACTTAATGAATGAGAAAACAGTAGCTGAGAGAATGACTGGCTTGTCCCTGAAGGTTGTCATTTTTTGAGTTTATAAATTGATCTGTTTATTGTCTTTTTAATGTAGAAATAAGGGGTAAATATACTAACTTTGAATAGATGAAAGCCAAGATCTAAAGGTCATGCTTGTTTTTTTTTCAATCAGCAGGTTCATATGTGAACTGACTTTCACTAAAATCTTGCTAACCCTGATATTTTTTTGTCTTTCTTTCTACGTCTCTTTAGAAGAAAGTAAACCCAGAGCTACCTGTGGAAATCAAGCCCAGTAACCGAGCGAGGAAGCTGCAGGAGAGCAAGCTGAAGAAGCAGAAGCAGAAAGCAGTGCTGAAGAGGCAGAGAGACGACGAGCAGCGCTGGCACATTGAGATGAGGTTAGACTCATGGTAAACGTTATTAAACTACGTTTTTTGTCAAGGTAGTATTAGTAAAGAGGAAATCATAAAAACAGACTATCTGACTGTCTGCATGTACAGATGGAGTTCAAGGAAATTCATGCCTCATTTAAAAGGCTCCTTTCCTTTTTTCCTAGCTTTTTCTGACCCCGCTCCATCACAAGGGCTCTTCCATCAACAACAATATACATTCTCTCAACAGCCAGAGGAAATTCATATGAATTGAGTCTCATGAGGATTGTATCATGGAATCTGCACAGACATATTTAAGGCCCCTGATGTAAATTTCTACATGTTCATGATATTTTTCACCCTCAGGTCCTCTAATTTAACTTTTGTGTTACAAGTAGTAGTGCAATTCTTGGTAACACTGGATTCAACTCAGCTTTTGACACAGAGCCTACGGATAATAATAATAATTTTCTATGATCAAAGGTAGATTAGAGTAAATGTTTTTGTCATTTGCTCTTTAATGAAGTAATGTGTACTTTTAATGACAGCCATAACATTTCCCTGTGGAACTAAATGGCTTGATATAAAAGATGAAGCCTCCCCTTCTCCTGCAGGAGATATGAGGAGGATATGTACTGGAGGAGGATGGAGGAGGAGCAGATGTACTGGGGGGAGCAGAGACGCAGGATGGCACCTCCACCGCTGATGAGCCGGCCTGGTATGCCAGTGCCCCCTCTACTGGTGAGCCATGTAGCTGCAGCGTTTGATATGTTTAGAATCCTGAAAGACATTGAAAGTCACTTTAACAAACCATTTGTTCCCACTTTTCCCTGAAGACATGTGTGCGTCGACCAGACTCTCCTGATGACCGTCACATCATGGCTAAACATTCAACCATTTACCCCGTGGAGGACGAGCTGCAGGCTGTTCAGAGGATCGTCTCTCACTCTGAAAGAGCACTTAAACTGGTGTCAGACTCCCTGCTGGATAAGGAGACACCAGTTGTTGCCCCTGCTGCCGCCACTGAAGGAGGAGATGAAAAAGGGTAAAAAGTGCAATTGAGCCGAAAATTCACATTTGCAGGAATGCAGGAAAATACAAGTTAGTTGAAGCTTTAGGATAACTTGAGCTGCACTTAAAATCATGACACATTATACAGACAACTTACATGTAATGGAAACTTCAAAATGATTGAATGCAAACAGGTAAGACCTTAAAGAAGCCTTTAGGGCCTATTTTTACCAAAGTGTTTTTCTTTGGAGGTGCTGTGGTTTTCTGCTGAAAAGCTCTGGTTGTGTCATGTTGCCATATTCGTACATATTCCTTTTTCTCCTCTAAAGCACGTAAGAGGTGATGGAGCTGCATGTTTATGAAATCATCACAGTTAGTTGTTAAAGAAACACGTTTGCAGAGTACTATGATTTATTTTTCTTTGTTATGAGTGACAGTCAGAGTATCTTAATCAAAAGAGAACATTTTCAACTCCCCCAAAAAAACCTAAAAAAAACCTTAAACGTGTTGTATGGACTTGACGCTCAGTCTAACTACTGGTGCTCTGGAGCAGAGTGTAAAAACATGATGCAAGAAAATGAAGCATGTCTGTGGAAAACACACTTTGTTAATGCTGTTTGTCAACCAAACACTTTATCCAATGAAAAAGCAAATGATCACATATCAGTTGTAGAATATTCAAATATTCACCAAGTCCCCTCAACAGGCACTCAAATATAAGGCAGACTGTAAAATCAGTCCTTCATGTCTTTAATTTGGCCTCTTCCCTCTCGACAGTTTAGAGAACTCAGCACGGCTGCTTAAAGGCGTGATGCGGGTGGGAATTCTGGCCAAAGGCCTGCTGCTCCGTGGGGACAGAAACGTTGAGCTTATCCTGCTGACTGCCAAGAAACCCACCATCTCTTTACTGAAGAACATCGCAAAACAGCTGCCCAATGAGCTTGAGGTAAGAAAACCTCCCCCGTTACAAACTGTTGATTTAAGGCATTGGTTGAGGTTGAGGGGTGGAAGAATAAAGGTAAACTGCGATCACAACACGTTATGTTTTATCTTAAACTATTAGAGGATTTCCTGGCGATTGGATCTTAAAGTGTCAACAAAACCCAATACAAGGAGAAACACCTTTCTTTGCTAGTTTAGGCATTAAACTGTTTTTGTAAAATATCATCATTGCAGCTGCTGTAGATTTGTTTTTAAGTAAATAATTTTTTATCTGCTGCTTTATGATTTGTGTCATAAGATCCAGATAAGAACTTTTCCCTCTGACGCTAAACAACCCAAATACGGAACCAGAAAACTCCCCTGCCAAATCACATGACATCCTCAAAAGCAGCTCATTTGTCTTTAGTGACCATGAACGTCTGTCCTCCACAGCCAGACACACTTCTTAAAGATATGGTGGGACCTAGAGACAAAACACTGCTAGCATTTAAGGCCAACAAAAGGTTGTGATGTGTTGTGATTCCTAACTCTTCCTCCCTCCAGCATTAGCTGTAATGAATGTTTGATTAAAGGTGCTTTTGACTGATCTTTAGATTCACTGCCTGGTTATGACACCTGAATCCTACAGAGTGAGATGGGGCTCCTCTTCCTTAACTGCCCCTTTACTTCCTAGATATCACAATTAATAAGACATAATGCATTATGGAGAAATATATATTCATGTTAATGTCATGACCCCATTTGAATTAGAGAAATAAATTGTACAACCAAAAGATTTAAAAAAAAAAAAAGAACAGTATTGCCCCCACTTCCTTGTCATACAAGGCTAGTCTTTGCCCACACACCCTCCTCCTCTGTAGTGAGTAATCCCAAGTGTCCTTTTAACTGGCAGACTTTTTCTGAAGATCAGTATGAGGTGCAGGCTCACCCCGAGGAGGCGAACATCGTGATATTTTCAAGCAAGGAGCCCAAAATGCAGGTGACCATTTCTCTCACCTCGCCGCTGATGAGGGAGGACACTGCTGCTGAGAAGGACAAGCAGGCAGGAGGAAAATCGGCTGAGAAAGGTTAGAGAAGCCAAAGCTTTCAGTACCAGACAACAAAATGTAAGCAATGTGTCTAATACACCTATATATACATATATAGATATATATATACCCTTTGCTCCGCCCTTCCACTCAGTTACAGCCTAAAATTTAGGCCGAAAAGCTTCAAAATGAGACGTGGGACTTTTAACCAAGCCCACTCTAAAGTTTTTTTTTTTTCTTTAAGCCCTGAAATAAAACTTAACACGCATTCATTTGTCCCACTCCTTTCATTTCCCCCATTTCCTGCACTCACAATAGTCCCCAATTTCTTTATTTCTGTTACCACAACATGGGAACCAAAAGCCGGGCTCTCCGACCTTTCTGTGCCATGAGGGTGTGTGTTTATCTGGTGAACACATGCTCAGATCAAACCTTTGAGAAGCTTTGAGAATAAACTGAAGTGATAATCAGTGTTCAGATAATGCCCAGGGATGAACCTGCTTCAAATGGTGTCAGTTTCTGCTTCTTTATTAGACCGTTGAGAAAAGTTTTTTTAACTGTGTGGCCATGAAACCTGCGAGGGGATTTTGATGTCCAGAGACTTCCATTCCCTCGTTTGTCATCCCTGCATCATTTGTGGCATTATCAGTGACAAGGCGATGGAGTGTGATTTTATTGCCTCACAATGATCTTGTTTTAAAAAAGAATAAGATCCCCAGTCATGACTTCCCCTGCCATGTACAGTCAAGATCATTGTATGTTGCAAGCACTCCTCTGCCTGCTCCAATAACTGTTCGTATTTTAATGTGTTTTTCACATTTGGAAAACATGTTAGAAATGTTTTCTGTGGCCTTTGTGTTTTATTTTTTCTAATTTTGTTTGGGTTTGTTGATCAATTCCCCTAATTCTGTATCAGCAGACCTAGGCAAGCCAGTGGCTAACCTGAAGACCACACTTGTTCACATACCACTAAGAACAGAGCATTTAAAGAACCAGGCTGCCCATTTTTGTTCACCTTTTCCAGAGACGGAAACCCTGTTCCTCTCCATCATCTGAGGGACTCGGGTGCTTCCAGCTCTAAGAGGCATGATAAATATGGGTATTTGATTCTCAGTGGTATGGTAGTGTAGACTTCACAATATGGCTTTGTTTTTCTCATGTATTTCCCGTGTAAGAAAGCTAACGTCATCTGTTGTTGCTACAGCTCTAGTGAACAAAGAAGTGTGGAAAGTCCCAGGGCTGATCTGGTGAAATATGAGCTCATTGCAGTCATGAGTGGCCACGTTGATGTTTACGACAAACCTGTCATTTGTCATCTTTGTAAATGTGTCTTACATCTTTTTCAGTTACTGAATATCTGAATCCAACAAAAAGAGGAGCAATATGTGCTTTTTTTGTTCTTTACAAAATAACTTTTTATTCTCTCTAACGGAGTACATCTTGAGCCTTTGTCTTATTCTTTAAGAGACTTTATTGCGCTTCACTTGGTTTGCATTTGAAACTTTATATTTGATTTGCTTGGCATGTTTCCTTAGTTCCGATGAGTAAAGAAACCATTATCTATTAATTCAAAGTAGAACTGATGGAAACAATCATGCTAATGATTGAGACAAACCCAAAGGTATTTAGGCATAAAATATTTAAAAATTGTGGAAAAGTATGTTCTAGGATCTAAAACCTCCTTTTTTTTGTCAGTCAAATGCAAAAGAGGAAATCCACAACACTCAGTTTGACTTTAAGCATATTCTAAATGTCAACAGCTTTACATTTTTACTGAATAAATGATACAACTTTTTAAAGTTTTTAGTGCAAGGAGAAAGTGGACAAACGGTCTAAACATGGGTCCTGAACAGGATAACTGTTAAAACATAGTTTAGAAATGTTTGGAGTGAAGAGCCTGAATACAGTAAGAGGAAGCGTGTTTCACTGAGCCGGATTGAAGGAGGGTCGATATACTCATATTATGAAGGAGTAAGGAAAACAGACCATATGAAGAACAACCGTCATGAAAAATAAGGAGCCCCTTTTCCATCCTTGCCACAAAAAATATAGGACAGTGTTTTGATCTGTCTTGGATCTTTTAGAGGCATAGAGAAAGTGTGCACACTTCCCCTTTTTATAATTCAATGAGGTTCATAGCCTTTAATTAAAAAAAAAAGTCTTTTCACCTCTCACAGCAGACATTTTGACTTGTCATTAAGGATTTATGAGCCCCCATTTCAGGCCTTAAAATAGACCATGAATGTTTCTCAGGGCCTTCATAGATGTAATAATGCTTTAAGTCACACATTTGGGAAATCTTGTTTGATAAGTCAAAAGGTTAGCTAATATAAGTATTCTCATGATGTTGCACAAATATGTATGTGGTTTATTCACTGCTCTGAACACCATGGATTTCCTTCTTGATTTTGCACGTTTCTTTGACTCTTAAATAAACACACAAGTGAATGTCATCTTTGTCCTCTCAGCACCTGTAAAAACATAAAAACACTCAGTTTTTCTTATTGAATGGTGAAATGTGTGGTCCCCTTCTGATGTTCCCCATAAACTAGAAGTGTGAAAGAAGCCGTACTATGTTAGGTTATAAGAGATAAACACCAGCATACAGAGTTATAGAATTCCATCCCTGATTGGTTTCTCTACATAAACCACAAAACGTAAATGAATTGCTGTGATTTAGCATTAGTGGGACTGTAACTCATGAGCTAGTAAATGTTATCTCCACCAGGTGTGGCTGAGAAGGACCCTCCTGATCTTTTGAACAAGAAAAAATGTCTGGAGAACCTGGCAGCTCTCCGTCACGCCAAATGGTTTCAGGTAAATGCCTCGATACAACTTTAGCTCCTTCCTGTTTGTGAGACCACAGCAGAGGTTTTTCTGCAGAAAGAGGTACTTTCCCTCTTTTTGCGAACAGTCACAACCTGAGATGATTCAGTAGTCTTCTGTTTACCAGCATGAGGGCGAGTGTAACTAAGAACTTAAACAATGACTTAGCTGACAAAAACGAAATGGAATGCATCCTTTAACAAAGTTATTGGTAACAATGTGCTTTCCAATTGTGACCTATCTACTATTAATTGATGCCGTGTTTCATGTTAAAGGCTGCAGCTTGTTCTGTCATGTTGGGTTTGTCTTTCATTTAGTTGTTAGTTGTAAACACGGAGGAAGTCAGGTAACAGAAGCAGCTAATCATGAACCATCGCCATGATGAGAACATTGTTTTTGATTTTACATTTTGTATTTATCCCAATCTAAAACAAGAATTGATTTGAGTTATTTTGATGAAGGTAACTTTGAATAGCCACCTTGACTCATGAGAGAGATTGAATGTGAGACTTTTGTCACACGGACAGTCCATTCCACAGAAATGCCCTCTACGTGTTATTTAATGTGGGTTTTTTTTGTTCTTCATTTCTGAAGGCTCGTGCCAACGGGCTGCAGTCATGTGTGATCATCATTCGAGTGCTGAGAGATTTATGTCAGCGGGTTCCCACCTGGGGGAAGCTGCCTGGCTGGGTGAGTGCTTTCAGCTGTCTATCACAACTCATCCACTTTTTATTTATTCTGGTGTAGTATATCTGATCAATTGTGACCTGCTGAGGGACTGCAGATGTAAACTAGCTCTAAGCTAACTCTTGTTATGATGCATCAAATGGCAACATTTATGTTTAATATTGTACATGGTCCCTTTACAAATAAAGTTAAATAAATAAATCCTATGGCTAATGAGGTTTTATAAATGATCATGCCACATTTGCAAAACCTCATTAGCCATTAGTTGCCCTTCAAGTGGAACTTTAAACTTCTTTTGAGCGTGACTTTCTTTTAGTCAGCTCTATAAGAGAGAAATACCATCAAAATTATATTTACAATCATTCATTACTTTTAAGTTTTTAAATCAACGCTTTATCGGTTTCTTGTATGAGAAGAAATCAAAACATTTGACCAGGAGTAACATGCCATCAAGACATCGGATGGTAGAGAGTGTTGTCTTCTGTTTCAGTGTGTGCTCTGTCTGTGTGTCTGCAGGCCATGGAGCTGCTGGTGGAGAAAGTGATCAGCAGTGCTACGGGCCCACTCAGTCCAGGAGAGGCCATGCGCAGAGTCCTGGAATGCATCTCCACAGGAATCTTGTTACCAGGTCAAATCTACATGTTTATAAGATGTGAAGTACAGTACTTTTCAGGATCTTTCCAGCTGATGAATGCTATGTGTCCATACGGAATTTGTATGACTTTGACATCAATATTTGTTTTCTTTTACACTTTCTGATTTGTCAATTCAATAAAAACTTGTATGGAACTTGAATTAAACACCTTTTTTCCTGCCTCTGATACAATAACTCCTTCACATCACTTGTGCTTTTTTAACATCTTTCTCCTCCCATCCCTTTAGATGGACCAGGGTTGACGGACCCCTGTGAGAAAGAGCAAACGGATGCTTTGGAAAGCATGATGCTTCAAGCCCGAGAGGACATAACTGCCAGCGCTCAGGTAAACATGCAGTGCACTTTTGTGCAAAATTGTAGCTTCTAAATTCGTTATAAATGATACTGTGGTTGAAGACAGAAACGGAAAGGTTGAGCTGAGCTACTGCGTGCTGAGGTTATTTCTGTAACCACCACTACAAACTTAAAAAAAACCCTCTCTCTTCTCTTGTTTCCTGTCTTTATTATTATTTGTCATGTTGAGGTGTAAAAGACAAAAAAGGATTCCTAACACTTGAAATGTCCATTTGTCTCTCCTGTTTGCTTTGATTTCAGCATGCTCTGCGGCTGCTCGCTTTCCGTCAGATCCACAAAGTTCTGGGCATGGAGTCACTGCCGGCGTCTAAGGCCAGCGCTCGAAACCGCAAACGTCGACGGGACGGCAGTGACACCGGCGAGGGGGAGGGGGAGGGAAAGAAAGACAAGAAGGAAGAAGCAGAAGATGCTTGACCTCTGCCTCCACAGCAGAGGGGTTTATTAGTTTAGAGACTGGCAGAATGTCACATGTTTCAACTTTTCCTATCTTGAAAACAATCTTAACACGCAGCTATACACATATGACATATAACTGACTGTATACTGTAAGCTACATGTCTGCTGTTAAATATAGAGGAATCATGTGTCAGAGGAAGAGACTGAAGAGTAAGATTCTAGACTGCAAACCCCCTCCCCTGTATACGTATAGTAACTCCCTGCAGAAATAACATCTTTAAAGAGTGCAGACAAAACTGGCTCAGTAAACAAATCTTAAAACAAACCGATTTGCACACTAACTACTGACCAGTGATCGTCATCGTGTTCTGTGGTTTTAAAGCCTCCAGTTAAATCAACAGCACCTTAAGCTTTGTTACCCAACTTTTCTCTTTGAAAAGTTTGAACCTGGCTGCTCTTCAGGCCACTTCAGTTCAACCATCACACAGTTGAGTCAGGACTCACTGAACTAACATTGGTGCATGAGATTTATACACTGAAATGTGTTTTTTTTTTTTTTTTTAGTTGTTTCTTTTTTTAAATATGAGAGATGGTTCATGTTTTGAAACTGTGAGAGAGATCAGAGGAGACGGACTGTTTAGAATTTACACACATAAAGTACTGTGATGTTTATAGTGCCTAAGATGACACATAAATGATACAATAGTGTGTTGCTGTGAGTGAACCTTAAAATAAAAAAAGCATTTCCTGAACTCTTCTTCGCTTCCACTACTAAAGTCGCCTATATTAATGTTTCAACATTTCGCTTAATATATTTTGAAAACTTGAAGAAGATGAGTTGAAAAGAGAAAGCCAAAAGCCCTCCGCCTAAAAAAAATAAAAAATAAGGCAATGCTAAAATAACTTAATTTTAAACTTACCCCTTAAAAGACAACACTGTTATTTGTGGGTAACGGAGTTCACACTGGAGCGTAGATGTGTCTCTGAAGAGAGGGGTCTTATGTTGCACAGTTTGTAGCATGCTGATGGAATGAAGCACTTAAGAAATGACAATGTTACTGTATGCAGCCATACTTTTATCATTCAAATAATATAATGCCTAGTAATCTTTTTTTCTTCCAGAGTATGGCTAGCAGAAGAAAGAAGCTTTAGTTTGAATCATAAGACTGAATATCTACTGTCATGATCAAGTAGTCCTTCTTCCTTGTGCCTGCATCATGTTTTTGTGTAACAAAGAATAAGAGGAACAATACTGAGTGAATATTGTCATGATCTTATTATTACACAAAGATGTGAGTCAGCGAAGGGACTGATGCACAACTCTTTTGGCTTAAAAGTGAGACAGTTATTGTGCAGTTTTTTTTTTGTTGTTAGATTTTTCATTTACCAAGATTATCATATATAAGTACTGCTTATTTTATTTCTGAAGTATGTTGCAAACTGTTGTGTATTTTTAAAAGGAAAAGTGAGAGCGTTGCTGTCCTATCATTTGAATGTCTTTGTAGTGTTGCCTACAGTTAAAAGGAGATATTAAAACCCTTTTAAGCCACTTTTTTCTCTTGTCTGTGATCTGTATGTGTCCCTGAATATTTCACTCCATTCAAACATGTTTCTGGGCTAAATACAGAGAAAGAAACCACACAGCGTAACTTGCGTAGCCTCATGAAATATGAACATAAGGAAGTGAGCTGACAGCTGCAGAGCATGCGAGCCTGATGAACAGCTCCAGAATCGGTTCCTGTTTTTTTTTCTTCATTTTATGATTATTTGTGTAGACATAGTGTCACAACGGAGAGATACGAAGAGGACACGGTAACAGCTGATGGTCAGAGGTCGCTGTAGTGTTTTTTGTTTTTTTCACCTCTTCAGATATTTTCGTACCCGGCTGTCCTGAAGAGCAAAAAGGCTGTCCACATCTGTCCACAGAAGCTGCAGGTACTGAAACATTTATGTCGATTTAAAAAAAAAAAAGCAGACAGCACAAGGTGTCTTCCTCTGTCGTTTACTTTTAATTAATGCGACAGGAGCAGCCATGTACAAAAGCAACCTTCGTTAAACGCTAACATCATTTGCCTTTTACCTGCCTTGTTATTCCTCGACAGATTCGTGTGACAGTATGTGCAGGCTACTCACAATGCTGTATCAGCTATTTGACATTTTCTCTATTTAACACAGAATCACCGCCCAGCCCTTCTCATGGCAGAGGTATGTATCCTACTCTGACTCACTGCAGCTGTGTGTGACTATTGAAGAAGTGTGCTTTAAAATGCATCAATTTAAGGAGCTTAATCAAGTCCAATTACCTTTAATTAAAAAGGCTATTGAACGATTTAAAACTGAATCAACTAGCCTACCAGGCAAAATGTCACATTTTTGTATTTTTCTATCATTACCAATCTTTGGTGTTTTTTGAAGGAAATGTGAAGACTATAACAAAAACTCAATGTTTTCCAATATTTTCCTTCATGATGATGTCTCCTCTGATTCTACATTTATGGAACTTAAACCTAATATTGGTGGAAAAAACACTGAAAGCTAACATTTTTCTAACTTAAACATCACACTTTCTGCTGGCACCACATTTTTGTGTTGTTTTTTTGTTAACATAGTATTTTCCCTTTGTCAGTTGATATTTGGTGGGCTTCTGTATGGTGTTGTATAGGTACTGGCTCTCTGATATCACATTGTAGGCAGTAGCTTGCTGGATGTTCATACGATTCGTATTAGATACTGGGAAGTTTTGCACCAACACTGAAATATAGTACATTTCACATGTATGTCACACAAATGATGTGTTGTTTAGCCTAGCCATTTCAGGCGTTCACAGATGTTACAGTGTTGTCTTATTATTTGTCCTGCACTGCTGCAGATGAGCTGGGCTGCTGGTACTCAGTGTGTCGCTAAAGGAGACCACAGAAAACCAAAACCTGGAGAGCTAGCGTACCACAAAGGAGACATCCTCACCATAGTTGACACCAGCACGGTACTGTCATGCACGAAAGGAGCTACACACAGTTTTTGAATAAATCTTCATGCAGCAGCAAAAAGTATTTTTTCCATCATATGACACATGACTATGATTTCTCTCTCCTAGAAGAAGGGATGTTACGTGGTCAAACACAACAGCACAGGAGAGGAGGGACTGATCAATTCTGCCAATGTGCGTGAAAGAGAGGCTCTTCGTGTGGATCCTAACCTCAGCCTCATGCCGTACGTCCCTTCTGAATTTGACACTTTTTTTCTTTGACCTGGACACTTGACCAAGCATCATTTTTTCCTCACCACAGTAGGATGCATCAGTTTCCATAAGCACATCTGTCACAGTGATGTGAAGGCTCAACCGTTTCTATTTTTAGCTGTTGCTTTGGTCAATCTAAAAATAAATAAAAAAGTCCTGTGACCATACAGTGTGGGCTGATGTGTGACCAGCAAACAAACATTGTCACAGGATGTACCCCATTGCTTTTTTCTGGTGTGAAATCCAATCATGTTTCCATCTCTATTTAAACAATTATCTGTACAAATGTTCAGACAGTTCATCAGTACAGTTTTTTGTGTTTGTTTTGGGGATTGACCCCTGTACTTTATTTCAACAGCTGGTTTCACGGGAAGATCTCAGGTCCAGACGCGGTGTGTAAGCTGCAGCCAGCAGAGGACGGTTTGTTCCTCGTTCGAGAGTCCATCCGCCATCCAGGCGACTACGTCCTGTGTCTGAGTGTCTCTGGAAAGGTCGTCCACTACCGGGTGATCTACAAGGACAACAAGCTGACCATCGACAACACGCAGTACTTCTACAACCTCATCGACATGATAGAGGTAAGAGGCTCCTGGTTTGATTCTGTGAAGTCAGGACAGGATCCAGGTTTTTCATCATACATATCTGTCAGGAGTTTTGACAGGTACATGAGCAAACTAAAGGATAATATCACAAAAAGAAGGGAAATGCTTAACTGCTCATAATGACGATACTAACACGCTAATGTTCAGCCATTCGTTTTTAGAGTAGTCTTTTGAGGACTCAAGTTTGGCATTCCAGCTGTCACCATCTGTGACACCATCTGTCACCAGCTGTTTGTTTTTTCAATTCATCTTTTACCTAGCACGCTTAAGACATAAAAACCAAGCAGGAACCTCCAGTCTTGAAAAATGAAGCCAATGCGGAAGTGCAAAATCCTGCAGTTCTTGAATGTCCGCTTGAGGTTGGCTCCAGGAACCCTGGAAGTCACATACACACAACAGGCAAAAAAGCTGTTTTAACAGCCCTCTGTCGTAACAGATAGCCGATGTCAATCAGGCTTTGTTCATCAATATTTACAGTCTATGATAAAAACATGCAGCCCAAATTGCTTCACAAAACAGACAAATAACAGGAATTGAAAGAGATTGAAAAGAAGGAAGTTAATAAAATAATTTAAAAATATCAAATTTATTAAGAAAGATGAAAATATATGAAGTCAATACGAAAGGAAAAATAGCAGTAATTAAAAAAAACATGGCAAAAAGTTGAATAAGACAAAATAAAAACCAGAGATAAAAAATGATGGGTTGTAAAGTGATTCTAATTAAAAGCCAGAATAAAAAAAAGTAGGTCTTCAGTTTACTTTAAAAAGCGTCTAGAAAGCTCGCTGTTTGGATGTCCAGAGGCAGTGACATGTTGGGCATTCCAAAGGGAAGCATTCGAGAACCTGATCTCGTTGGAACATAAAAGAAAAGAAGATCAGTGATGTATTGAGGAGCAAGGCCACTTAAGCTTAAAAAACAGTTAGTACTTGTGAGCCAGTGCAGAGTTTTTAAAAGTGAAATTCTGTGATCATATTTGTTTTTTTTCGTTAGAATTCTGACTGCAGCGTGATGAAAAAGGTAATACTTTTGCGATATTTCTGAGATGAAAAAAATATGTACTTATGACTCTGTTAAACTGAGGATTAACATTTAAATCATTATCTAAAATCACATAATAACACATAATTGTGTGACATTGGCATAAACATGATAATGGACATTGTGTTGTGATGTTATGTTTTAATGGAAGCAGGTACTGTGGAAATAAAAATTGTCCAAGAATGCTTCCTTGAGGGATACCATAATAAAACCATGAGTCTCTGACACACAAGCACGGAGGCTGACGTAGAACTGTTTGTTAAAAAGATAAGAGCTGAACCCAGTCTAAAATTTAATCGTATTGAATGCTGTGCTGAGATCTAATAGAGGAGGACTGCCACATTGCTTTTTATCTACAATCATTCTGATGTCATTCACTACTTTTGATTTTGATTTTGATTTTGATTAATCCCCGAGGGGAAATTCGGTTTACACTCTATTATTTATAGGGACATGCTTCTCACACACATTGGCCCGAATCACACACATGCACAAACAGGACCTGTGGACATGCATTGGTGGAGTGATGTCAGAGTAGTTGGGGGTTCGGTGCCTTGCTCAAGGTCACCTCGGCAGTGCTCGGGTAGTGCCCTGGCACCTCTCCAGCTACCAACTTACTTTAAGTAGAGCAGTCTCTGTGCTGTGGTTAGTTCTATATTCAGTCTCATGGTGGTGTGTAGGACCCTTTCAGGGACCATCAATTCTTGTAACAGATTTCATGGTGGTTTTATGTATGCTGCATTTCTGGCCTCTGTTTCTGTGTTCCCCAAAAACCCCTTACACATAACTGGCATCTGTACAAATATGTATAATTCACAAGTCGTCATGAATTTTAGGTGGAAATGTCTTTAAGAAATAGCCCACAAAGAGAACATGTTTTATAGAGCTTTGAATGTCCAACACGGTCGCAGAGACCGGTTCAGGCAAAACACAACTCCCTCACTCACATGCAGTTATTTACTCATGATGAGCCATGGCCGACGTGATGCGAATGATTGTTACTCATGATCTGTAATCAGACAGCCTTCAGCTGCAGCAATAGCACATATGATCGCTCAGTTTAAAAAAAATGTTTTAGCTCTACAAAGCAGGAACAGGAAAACGCATGAAGCACAGCCCTTTTATGGTTTATTTGTATTCAGCCTGTGTGGGTGGTTGGGTGTGGCGGGCCGCCCCCTTAATATAATGGTAGGGGAAACACTGGATGTGTGTGTGTGAGAGGGATGCATTAAAAGCTTTCCCGTTGTAGGCAATGGGGTAGACTTCATGGTATTGCCAGCTCATGTTCAGGAACATCTTATCAGCGAGACACAGATGGTCTGAAGGCCTGAGTCCGAGCATTGGACTAACCCCAGAGAGGATATAAATGTCCTACTGATGACAGACAGCTGACTGAAAATACAGATTGATGTGTCAGTGTACAACAGTTCAAAATGTACTGAAGCAATGAGTTTTGAGATCTTATACTGACGTCAACAAATAACTGTCATCACATTCTGTGGCCTCTGAAGCTAAATATTAGTTAACTTTTTTTCCACACTTTCTTTGGTAAAGCCACAGTGCTAATAAGACATCCTGAGTACTGTAGAGTTGTTCTTTGAGGGCTCATTCACATTTAACTCATACTTACTAGAGCTACAGTGAATAACACTGTTATGTTCGGTAAAAAACCTGAATAGCATAAAAAAAATAGTTCTAGAGGAAAAGTAGCATGCCAAAGCTAGTACAGATACATAACAACACCGGCTATTAAAAAACACAATGTGTCATAAAAAAACCACCTTCAGACGTCATTGTTTTCTTTTTTTGCAGTTCTTCTCCAAGAACAAAGGCTCTATTGCTACAACTCTTCTGAAGCCCAAACAGAAACAAGGGACCAAGTCGGCGGAGGTGGAGCTGTCTAAAAGTAAGTGTGACGTCAAGGATTGCTGCACACATGGCATTTTAAAGACACATTTAAGTGTGTGACGGTGTGTGTGAGGTTTACTGTAGTGCTCGTGTCTCTCTCCAGCTGGATGGCTGCTGGACATTTCAAACCTCACACTGGGACAAAATATTGGAGAAGGGGAGTTTGGTGGTGAGCTTTCTCTGATTTTAAAACTTCTTATTTCCAGCCCCTCTTTTTGTATTTTTTGTTTTATTTTTGCACATCCTAGGCCTAACTGAAAATACATTCACATAGCATTGTGCCCACTTAAAAGAAAAGAAAATGCAACAGACTGAATCCTGCTTTACAGCCTGTCTCTGTCAGAGGTTTTCTTTTAGACCATTGTCTTGAAAACTGAGTAAGGTGGTAGGCATTAAAAGAAAGGAAATCTCATCATATTCTCACTCATTTGCTCTAAAAAGTCAGATACAGTTTGACTGTAAGGTTAAATGGACTTGTATTGCTACTACTGGTATATTATGTATTTCTATCTATCCATCATTGGTGGGTTAATCTGATGTAGCTCTGAGCAATGGCAGCTTATTTTTTTTTATTACCATCTCCATATTGTTATCCAGTCACGTAGTAGCATTAATAGGACTGCATCCTGACGTGTGACTCTCATCTTCAGCTGTCCATGAAGGAGAGTACATGGGCCAGAGGGTGGCAGTGAAGACTATTAAATGCGATGTCACAGCTCAGGCCTTCCTGCAGGAAACCACAGTCATGACGTGAGGCCGAGATTTGCTCAATTCATATGTTCATTTTGTGAGAAAAAAACAAACAGCTTTTAGTGACTCCATAGAAAAAGAAAAATGAACTCCCTCAGTTTGAAAGTGATCATATTATTGGTAATTAAATAGCTATGTTGTAACTTGTTCAGAGGTTTATTTCTGCTGTCAGTTTTTTATTTTTTTTTAAATAAAGCTTCACTTCTTCCAGGAAGCTGCAGCATAAAAACCTGGTGCGATTGTTGGGCGTCATTCTGCACAAAGGGCTTCACATTGTCACAGAGCTCATGACTAAGGTACAGGAGGCAACGTTTTCATCAGTGAAACTTGTTTTAATAACAACCATCAATAAGGAGTCAGGCATCTCATTGTGTTTCATATTTAATCAGAAATAGCAAATAGTTAGCGGAACAAGTTTCTCATTGCAGATTTTTAAAATGGCTAATGTTTTATACTCGCTTGGTAAATGTGTTAAACCTCAGAATAAGTAGGTCAGTGGTCCCGCTCCTGGTTTTTATTGCCTGTGTGTTCATTTGTCAGCATGTAAACGGAAGTGTATTTACTTATCTTCTTTTACTCCCTCATTTGTTTATACCTGACCTTAAACTTGTTTTGTTTTATAACAGAGGCTTTGTGACTACTTTGCCTAATTTAACACCAGGCTATGTTATGCTGCCGCTACAAGAATCTAATGATGCAGTGGTATGCTAACAATGGCAGTGCGGCTTTCAAGAATCAGAATCCTTCTTCCTCTCCTGGTTAATGACATTAGGCAAAATGCCAGAAGCTTATTGTGTTTTCTGGTTCTCTGTTGTGGTATATTACCACTTAAGGGTGATGTTTTAAAGCACAAAATAACTGCTCAAACCCTAGATTAACACATTTGCAAATATGCTGCAGCATCAAAAAGTTACCCCTTGCTTGTTAAGTGTTATGTTTCTCTTAATCTATCTGAAACATCTTCTAATAGAACCGCATTCAAATGTTTATTATTCTTTGTTTTAGGGAAACCTTGTTAACTTTCTCAGGACGAGAGGACGTTCAGTCGTAAACTCAGTTCAGCTTCTTCGCTTTGCTCTGTGAGTTCAAACTTCAGACACAGTTGCTGTGTGTGTTGAACAGTTAACAGTCCAAAATACATCTGAGCATTGTTTGTCTGTGTCACCAGCGATGTGTGTGAGGGGATGGGGTACCTGGAATCGAAGAAGTTGGTGCACAGAGACTTGGCAGCTCGTAATGTGTTGGTTGCTGATGACAGCGTGGCCAAGGTCAGTGACTTTGGCTTGACGAAGTTGGACCTGAAGGAACCGGATAACGTCAAACTGCCCGTCAAATGGACCGCCCCCGAAGCTCTGAAGAAAGAGGTCAGTTTAAAGCTGCTGTGTTACTAATCTTTAACCTGGGATTGTGTTGTTGTTATATTAGTTTCTACTTCTTTGGAATGACAGGTGTAATCTGTCTCTTCATCCTGATCTGCCATGGTGATTTAACACAATTATTAGGGATTTCAAATAAATACTCAATCAGCTTATTGAGTCAGTTAGAGGGTTAACACGTTTTAGAAATTACTCTTTTAATGGCTGTCTATTAAAGAGAATTACTTCCCTATGATTATCAATATAACTATTTTTCTTTTGTTATTTACATTTGTACAACTTCTGATCTCATGTCAACTCCTGCACTTTTAGTAAAGCATGATACATCACACATTTCTATACATGTTAACATTTTTAATGTATGCAAATATATTTAAAAATGTAAAATTTTATATTCATATTTACATTTGCTCCCATTATGTAGAAATTCTCCACAAAGTCGGATGTTTGGAGTTATGGTGTTCTCCTATGGGAGATCTTCTCTTACGGGCGTCAACCTTACCCAAAGATGGTACGTATGATATCTGCATTACATTGTTATACTATTATAAGGTGTTTTTTTATGTTTTTGTGTTTATATGGTTGTATCACTAGGTTTCACACATTCATTTCTGATATCTGACTTACAATATAATGTGTGATTAAGTAGTAGTTAGACATTTTGGAAAATAGGCAGCTGTGCTCTCTTGTCAAGAGTTATTAGTCTGTAGGCTAAAAGAACAGCCTAAAAAAGAGTTACTATAAGGAGGTATATATCACTCTATAGTGTATTTTAGTTAAATATGGAGCTACAGTCAGAAGACAATTAGCTTGGCTAAGTATCAACAACTGAAATGTTGAAATGACAAGTTGAGGTTTGACTATTTCTTGCCCTGGGACCATTTCATGGAGTCATAACTAAATTCATCTTCTTATCCAACTTCCAGCCATAACGCAAAAACTGCATCTGCTCCAAAACTATTCTTACAAATCAATCTTCTGTCGGTTATCGTCTCAAGGGTTAGGGTGAGGGTTACTTAGAGTAAGTAAGCAATCCAAGCCTTCAATCTAGTCTGTTGTCTCTCCAAGATTAGAAGAAATAAAGCTGAGTTGGAGAAAGGACACCTGCATATAAGACAAGCAAGAGTTTCAAGCTGGTTACGAACGTCCGTTTCCATGCCATGTCGTGATCTGTGTCTCTAGTGGGTGGTAGGGTAGAAAGCTGCCAGGCCTGGTGGTCAGATTCGCCACTCGGTCATCATCTCCAACGACTTAGTGTGTCTGAGCAGGAAACCAATCAGGTCACTGACATCATGAGAGTACGTCAGTGTGGATAGAGGTTTAGCAGAGAGGAGGAGCTAAAAAGAACTCCACTGTTCATGCACATCGTGATAGGAAGAATAGAAATTAACTTATTGTTGTAAGTAATTAATTAATCTGCTTAATGGGAGGAAATGGACACTGTGCCATATAGATCCCCGTCAGATCAGGTAGGTGTATGCCGTAACAGAGTTTGACGTCACAAGAAGCCGGATCATGTTGACACTGTGACAGTGACACTGTCTAAAGAGCAGAAACTAGGCTACTTAAACACAGATCTAGATGTAACGGCAGACTTTCTCAGCAGGTCGTCTCTGCTGAGGTGATTTGTGTCATTGGCTGATGGTTCAGTGAGGACAGGAGGATCAGGCAGTATTAATCGAGCGGACAATTAGCCCCGCACTCAAGCTCTGCATTCGTCTTTTGCACCTTTCATCAGGTGGCATCCATTTAATGCAGATGATTACCTCCTAATTACAGCCTGTTTAACACATACGCAGGCTAATTTATGTTGGCCCGGTAATTAGTTATCCGCTGGCAGAGAGAGCGAAGAGACGGCCAAAGTTCAGTTCTATTTATCCTGCTAGAAGAAGATTTAGCGTGTTTTATGTTACATGGAGATCACCATGAAGTCTAGGATGTCCTACCGCATCAGGTCAACTTTAAAACTATGCAAGCCAAGTTGTATGTTTCTAATTCAACTCACTAACTTATTTGTTTTGAATATTTAACGCATCTATCAGTATTCACTATCAATCACTTTGTACAACAAACTAATGTCACCACACTTTCCACTTCTTCCTCACGATCTCCATCCCCTCTATCTCTTCTGCTTATTTAGTCCCTGAAAGAGGTGAAGGAGAGGGTGGAGGGGGCTATCGTATGGAGGCTCCAGAGGACTGCCCCCCCGGTGTATACTCCTTGATGAGGATTTGCTGGAAGCAGGAGCCTCGCAGAAGACCCACTTTCCACAAACTAAGAGAGAAACTTGAACAAGAGACAGGTAACCTCAGCCTGGACACGGGGTCTGGTCTGGATGCTGATCTCAGTATGGACTCTTAAACTCACAATGGTGGAAATACAGTGCAACTTCACACACATTTTAAAACACCACTTTTTCGTGTGCATCCCACAAAAAGGTCTGTTGGAGAAGGATTGTGGATAGCATTTGTAAAAGAGATATTTAACTTTGGCACCAGACACCAGAACACTTGTATCGTCTTTTCCTCGTTTTTCAATGCGTTCTTATAATCTGTTCCCTGATTGTTGTGTCATATTTTTACACCCTTTGTACTTTACTAGCTGGGTGTTATACACTGCCAGAGAGTTTCAACACCCAGAGAGGTTTTCAACACAACAACTAAAAAAGAAAATATCAGCAGAATACAGGGTCTACTGTCAGATACGGACACTGAGCCACGCTGGCATTTGATTCACAGTGAGGAAGGATTATTTGTTAGAAAAGCTTTTGACAATTCTTTCTGAATGGTTGTGCTTGGCAAAGTTGCTCATTTGTTGGTCCAAAACTTTCAGTCTAACTGATATTTTTCAACAAGTTGATGCAGTCAACATTATATACTGTAGATCCCTCAACAATAATAACCTTATAGTATTTATTTGTATAGCACTGTAAAAACACAAAGTGCCAGAAGGAGCATTGATCAACCAACAACAACAAAACCCCAACAGTAAAAGAACCCAGACAACAACCTGACCAACAACAGAACCAAAACATCATGAAGAACACAATAGCTTATAATAACTCATAATAACCCGGGCAACTTAGGGTGAGACCAAGAGGACTGAAGATCTAAGAAGATAAGTAAGCAATTAAAAGAGATAGAAAAACGAACAAATAAAGGAGACTTTGTGGCGCTGAATAAGTTGGCCAAAGGCTGCATATAAATAGAGAATAAAATAGGACCTAAAATCGAACCTTGCTGTACACCACAGGCCACATTAGAGGAAGAGGAGGAGAGGTGACCGCAAAGGTTCATTCTAAAAAACAAGAATAAAAAATGAATCTACTAAATCTGCTAAATCAATCAATACTGAATCAACTAAATGTGATTTCAGATCTCCCACAAACATTTAAAATCAATAAAAACCCACAATTAGTCAGGGGATACTGCAAAAAATCTGGGACTAAACTACTTACCAAGAAATTTCTTCACAAATATGTGTTCATAAAGGTGTCTTGTAACACATGTAAAGAGATTTAAATTAAACTTCCATAGGAAGTATATGTGAGCTGCTCAAAATTGTTGTACCCAAGACCTTATAGGTGGAAAGTTGAAACTGTTAACCTCTGCCTTAGGTTGCTCATGAGGGGTCAAACTAATTTTTCAGGATTCTGAATCCATTGCAAAAATTTGTTTTGCACAAAAACCACTACATGGTGGAAAAACTGCCACGGCCACTTTTACATGTATATTTAAAAGTGGCTTCATTTGTTTATTTCAATATCTCGAATACTAGTTAAAAATATTAGTGCTCTATATTGTCAAAAGTCTCAGGGGCCCAGGTCTGAGTCCTCTCCAATCTATACATCAGTGTTCAGAGGCTGTTTGTGAAGCTAATTACAACATGAGGCAATATCATGCATACAGCCACACAGTAACCTTGAAAAAAAAATACATATATCAAACAAAAGTATTGCATGTGAACTAAAAGCCAAACCATCTCTCTAGATCAAACTGAACTATAAATTCCAATGACTATGGGAAATGTAGTGTATTTTGAATCAGTTCCATATCCACCATCCTGCTGCTGTAAATTCACTCTGGAGCATCAAACATATATGTGCATGAAAGGAAAAAGGTCTTTCTTGAATTTAATCACAGACCAGATAATCTGATTGTATCCAGCATTAATGCTCAGCGTGATGCCAGAGACACACAGCTTTATATGAAAAATACTAAATGTTATTGCTGGTATATAGAGAGCAAAGAATGAATTTAAATACTTAGAAGCATATTGCTTGTGTGCAGAAAATATTTGGAAGTTTATTTCTTGCAGATTCTGTGCTTAATCTGCCAAAGCCCTGAAGTCAAAGAGGAACTTTAGTAGGAATCTGGTTTCACTGATCTAGTCCTCTAGAGTGAAAGCCTCGTACCACCTTTGACACTTTGACTGTCACCTTACTGGTAACCATTAGCTTGGGGAAGATTTTGATTGATTGATTCATATTTCATTAGTTACGTAATATCTATGGGAAACACGGCATATGAATACTTTCTCCTCCCCTCTTTATTTGGATTTGAGATTATAGGAGGGACTTTGTATTAGTCAGTGTCCTCTTGGGATCTTTTAGGGTATTGGCAAGTACAAAATGTTTTCTGATTTCCTTGTCTAAAGGGAAAGAGGGTTTTGACTGCAGATGATTGTTTTACATTTACACAAACAGTCTATTTATTAAACTACTTGAACCACTCGTATCAAAATATGTGAATTTCAGCTGCTTTTCATTTAAATGAAATTGAAGGTTCATCTTTCTGTTAAGAATAATACAAATTCTGTTCAAAGTGAACCCTTCTTTTTTTGGACTGCTGTCACGTCATAACACAAAATTAAAGATGTCATTTGAGTTAAGTCTATGTAAGCCTGGTATTTGTCTCTGTCCCGGGAGGCTGACCCCAAATTGAGGTTTGATCCTCCATCTCTTGTTTTCACACAGTGCAAGCCCGTTCAATCTGCTCTTTTTTTTTTCTAATGGGATGAGCTGCAATTTTCTGCACAAGGTTTCATAAGGGAACCGCATGTTAAAAAAGATAAAAGATTTGCTGTTCTTAATGGAGGAGGAGTTATGCCTCATTGAATAAAGCTTTTCTTTCTCTAAATATCAGCAGTTGTTGTCATGCTGTTCGGTAAAAAAACATTTTTTAACACTATCCAGGAAAGCCTCCTAGATTTGTAATTGTACAAATCTGTATTAACTTGAATTCCTGGAGTGTGAAGGAAGAATGAAACATGGCACAGAGTTCCTACAATAGGCATTGTGAGCTGACTGACTGGTAATTGTCAACCAGAAGATAAAACTTGTTATCACCCATATATACTGTATATTTATATATTTATACCTATAAATACACTAATAGTATATTTATTTATGTATAGATGATAAACGTGTATAAACTATATCCCCCTTGATGGCACACATTTTAACATGTTTAATAATTGTGGCGTGTGGGGACATATTGAAGGGGCTGCAGGTTTTTTAAAATTTTAGTATTGAGGGGCAGTATTGGGGCTTTGTTAACATATCTAGATCTTGGTCATACATACATGGTGACTAGTTGACTTTGACTGCCAGCTTCAATATTTGCTGTCTTTGAATGACGTTTTGTAGCTTTACAGGCTCTGTCATCGCCATGTGATAGAGTTCAGTGTGTAGGTGCATGTTCAGTCTTACTGTTACAGTCTAAAAAAACAGTTACTGTTGCTATGTTAATGTTATCCCAGGTTCAGGAAAAATCCCAAGTGTATAAATAGCAGTAAAAAAACTTTGTAACTACCTACAGCAGGCTACAGCAGCAGTTGGCAGCAACACAGGTTTTACGTAATCAAGAGGTACTTTGAGGTCAGGATATAAGTACCTTACTACATAGGTTTATCATTGCTTACACAGTGCTGTAGACCTAAAGTAACAGCTAGGTCTGGGTTGATATAAATGTCACAATAACACTAGCAGCTCTTTCATGTTCACAATTGGATTTGCTTAGTTTACCAACTCTAATCAACTATAATGTTGGCTGATAGTCCTTTTAAAAGTTCTCTGTTGTTCGCTAAACGAGAAAATACATATAGGGAGACATTAAAGGTCCAGGGCATATGTGAATCTGACGACTGTAGCTTAGAATCTGCTACCGGTATCCTTGTAAAAGTCATGCGTGATAAAAGCCTGAACAGCCATGGTAGTAGTAACCACTTTTACATTAATGTTAGCTTATTATATTGTATCACACAGATGAACAGTTATCATAAAGTTGCATTCATGTCACAGTCAAGCCAACTGAGTTGGAAAACCATCAACTTCCTGGTTCTGATTTTAATAAAGAGGTATTGCACTTTAAACATCTACTACAGTAGCTTCCAGTTACTGAATATGTAAACAAACCATTGAAAAAAATGGCTATCTACTATCCCTGGAAGTAGACTCTACTAGCAACAGACCAATTGGAAAAATCATTTTTTAAAGATTTTCGAGGTAGATTTTGTGTTTTTTTGTAAGTGACTGTAATTTGACGAGTGACAAGTGGTTGATAAGTGAATGCTAGGGAATCAAAGATAACTCAATTAATGAAAAATAAGGCAGCTAACCATGTGTTACCCAAGGAATTATATTCTATTTATGTAGCTGCTTGACTTTAACATACCAATATTGTCCATGACAAACATATAAATAAAGAAAACCTGACTCTCCAGCTCTTTGACACCACAAGTAAATCAATGTATGATAATTAAGGAAAGTGATGTGATGTCAAGTTTATTCATAAAGCACATTTAAATCACCTCACTTTGACCAAAGTGCTGTACAGTCTATGTCAAGCATTACCCATACTTGCTAGTTGGAGCTGACATACTAATAAAATAATGTAACATTTTCACTGACTTAAAAAGCTTAGACAGACAGCCAGTTTAAAATATACCATTCAGCAAGCTATTTCATGGATATTTGTCCATTTTTTGCATCCAGCAGAAATCTCTTTGGCACAAACCTTTACCCCACATTATACAGATTATTCATTTAGACTTACCTGTACAGCTGTAATGAGTTGAAAAATTGTACATAGGGACTTAATTAGGGGGGATGGCAATTTGCTCACTTTTGGCCACTTAGGAAACTGCACTTTTTGGCACTTACTGTAGGAATTGACCGGATGCAGCCAATTATATTATATTGCTCCTATTTCAGTCTTTTACCTAGTTTGTAACACTTAGCATTTAAATGTTAAATGAGCTAATGTTCATGTAACTCTGATGTGATAGCAAATCCAAAATCATTCATATCAGCTGCAGGCCATCTTGGCTGTTTATGGTAACGCCTCAACAGCCCTAATTATCACCCCATACAAGATCAACTGTTGTGAAGGGCCCAACGTGATTCAGGGTAGATGCAAATCTGTCTGAGCAGGAAACAGACCAAAGCAAATAAAACACAAGTCACACGTTTCATTATTGTCATTTTAGCTATATACAATTGCACAGTGGGGTGGAAAATGTTTTATCCAGGAAAATGATGCAACATAAAAGAGGAAGAAACACAAGGAAAATATAGTGCAGTTAAAAACAGTTGAAGCATCAGAGGTACAAAAAGTGTGCAGATCTATCTGTTTCCTAGGCAAGTAGTTTATATCCCAATGAAATCCAAACAATAAGACTAAAAATTCACATGTTCTAAAAGGCTATATGCTTTTTGTGTGGGTCCGAAATACTGCACAGGTATGTACCACCGCACAATTAGTGTTTCTGTGTGTGTGTGTGTGTGTGTGTGTGTGTGTGTGTGTGTGTGTGTGTGTGTGTGTGTGTGTGTGTGTGTGTGTGTGTGTGTGTGTGTGTGTGTGTGTGTGTGTGTGTGTGTGTGTGTGTGTGTGTGATTTTGCATGACAGAGAATCACATGAATTTGCTTTCCCTGTCACACCACCAACTCACCCTTCTCTGCCCCCTCTCTCTCTCTCTCTCTCTCTCTCTCTCTCTCTCTCTCTCTCTCTGCCTCCCCTCTCTCCCCTCCACCCGCAGTAAGCTGACACTGTGCATTTACACGTTAGCTGCTTTTACCTCTAATAGGATCAGAGGGACTTACATTGTCATCTGATAAAACTAAGAAGCTTGATAACTACACTGCCCCTGCTTAACAAATTTATGCTCAATTAGGGAAACAGAGAAACAATGGAAGGACAAAAATGTATTAACAAGATCGTGAGGGATAATCGAGACCCTTCAATTGCCTTTAATTGCCGGCACTGAGAGTCATTTTGAGTCAGCGGTGACTCTAATGGGAATTAAGGAAATGTTTGTTATTGAGCAACATGTAGTTCAGCATCAATCAAATCAGTTATTTTTTATATTTGATGTATCGGTTTTTAAATTAATATACACTTTTATAGATTGTTTCTATATATTCTATATATTTTCTTTTTGATTGCACCTTTCAACCAGGTTAAACATTTCCAGATGTCTTTTTCATCTTTTTATAAATGTTTGCTTGAACATGTTTTTTTTTAAATCATGTTGAAAAATATGATTTCATAATTTTTTCCTTACTTATTCAAATCCTCAGATAACACATGTAGGTGGAACCCTTACTTACAGTGGTTTCCAAGACAACCACACAGTACGCACAAGATGGTAGAAAGAGGAGTAGACTGAGACAAGGTCAACATGAGAATTAGCTTTAATTTTCAGGACTATAAGTTTACTCTGAATACATTCATGCAACATTGTCCTGAAGTGGTTTAAGAGCTGGTACACATTTGAACTCGGGTGGTGTGTTTAGCTATGGATGTATAAGCTTTATTGGGGGGTAATGGAAACTGTCAAGTTGACACTGAGGGGATGAATTTAATTCATCATTAAGTTGACACTTAAGGGGATGAATTTAATTCATTTTTGAATCATGGATTTCCTGACAGGAAGAACATATACATATACATATATATATATATATATATATATATATATAACATAACAAATTTATAGAAATGTAAGAATGAACATACTGTATGTTAACATACTTAAAATACAAAATCCCTTTCTCTCTGGAACAAAGGACTTAGAGTAAATACATTGTCCGATATAACATGTTTCTTTAGCTGTAGATATGTGTGAGGTCACAGGAAATCTCTTTAGCGTCTTTGGTGTCATGGCAGATTTCTGTGACACTAAGCTGAGGTTAACTCCGATCTGCACAGGCAACATTGATTTTGATCTAACGACAGACACAGCCGGCTGTACACAAAGAATAAACAATTATGCATTACACAGTCATGACTTTGTTTTTGTTTAGGAGTTTGTTTTAGTCGACATTTACCCATAAGTAACCTTAAAAAGTCTATTTATCATCATGTCCTATGTAGCTTAATTGAGAAAGGCAAAAAAAGTATCAATGCAACTCTACACAGGAGGTTTGACTCTACATCTTTCTGACCTCACGTGCTTTTTATATTCTTGAGATCTGCCATTAAATCCAGCCAACAACCTTATTGGCTCTGTTACATCATGATCTTCTCTGCTCGACTTCTTTTGGTTCAACATTATCAGTAACAGTATGAAATGATCGCCAAGAACGCAACACTTTAAATCTGTAAAAAAAAAAGAAAAAAAATATAAAATCAAATAGTACATTAGTTTAATAATTTTTAAATAATTTAAAATTTGATCAAATAATCTCAAGCCTCCATATTATCAGCCTGCTTTGGTTCTGCACTAATGAAGAATAATTTATTTCATGCAAGCTCGACTGAGTTATATTGACATTTAAATATTGTCTAACTGATGACCACTGAAGAGAATTAAAATAAACATAATGGTGTTGTTCATGTAAACTAAGTATCCCACAAAATCAACAGGTGAAAGTCTATATACAGACTAGTAGACCTAAGCAGTATTTCCTACAACATTTTTTTGTGTAGAATAACATATTGTTCAAATTTGCCTGAGATATTAATCAAAGAGCTTATAACTTAATAACTCAGTTCAAGATTTGTAAAAGGTTTAAAAGTATGTGTTTACTTGTTGGATTTCTGCTGTCGCAAAGTAAGCAGCTGAGGCTAGCTTCTACTTTATTTCCTTTAGTTTGCTACAGTCTATAAACAACACAAGTTACATGTATTTTATGGCAGATCTGTAATAAATGTGTTTTTGTAACGAGACGTCCCTTAGAAAGAAAATTTAACCCACACAGATCGCATGTAGAAAAGTCACTCTTAAAGAAATATTTGGGGTAAATTTTAAATCTGTGTTTTGTAAATGAAATAATACAGGTTTTGAGGTGATATTTGTTTAAATATTTATGATTGAAAAGCTTTTTCATTCAACTTGAATGTGTCAACACAAGTGTCAACTTGTAACATGTAAATACTCTTTATGCTAATAGTTTTGACCCCATGTCTAACCATTTCTAAGTTTACTTTTTTCCATGTATAATTCCACATAATGTGGTTTTCTCTGTGAGCGCAGTGAAAACTTTCAGCTTGTCTTTTGTCTCTAAAACAATACTTTTATGAAAGAAAGTCCTGTCCGGGCTTCATTAGCATGGACCTCCTCCTGTGGGGCTGAATGGAAATGACATTTAAAACAATCACTTGGGCAGAAAACAGCTGCTAATCACCCTTAAAGGGGAAGGATTCCAATTAATAACCCTCTCCTAATCCCCTCGTTTCACCTCCTACGCCCCCTCAGCCCCGTCCACCTCTCCCTCTCTCTCTTTCTCTTCTTCCACTGTCCTCCCTGAGCACGAGTGCATGGCATCTGATCAGTGCTGTTGAGCCTCCTTTTTCAACAAGGTCGCATGGTTTAGAAGCACTTTATTGGACTGCTTTCTGAGTTTTTCTGTCAAGACTGTTTTACTACATAGAGGCATCTTTGCGAGAGATGAGAGGAAAGCAGAGCCGGCTGAGTGACTGTGAGCAGAGCACACTGCAGCGCTGGGAAGAGTGAAGTTTGAAGGAACAGGTGGAGCACTGGCATCAGCAACTTTATTACTTCAACATATAACCTCTAAAAGGTGAGCTCCAACACTGTACTGTTGTATTCCTGTCATGCCATTCAATGACACTCAACCTAACTATTTTACTTAATTGGCAACTAAAGATGTGTTGGTCCGAAAGATAGTGGTGTGATCACTGTACACCAAATAACAAAACTATGATACTTTAAAAACTTTGTTTTAATCAACAGCCAATAAAGTGAGTCCCTTACATTTGCTCTTTTACACACGTCTGAAGATGTACCGACTTTACTTCAAGCGGGACATCTTTTATATGGTTTTCCATTTCTTTGCCAGCATATCTTTACTAAACAACACACAAACTTAAATTAATGTAAAGCAACATGCACTACTTCTATCAAAAAGTTAAGCAACCTGTAAATACATTACTGTGTAATTCCTAAAAATAGCACACTGTTTATGCACCATTTAATCATATTGTGTTTTGACTGAAATAAGAATTATTTCATGAGTTTGTAAGTACAAGCAGGAAGCATTTTCAGTACAATAACAAGTTAGTGTGAGGTATTTTGATTCTGTTTGACTATTCTGATATTTTGTTTGACTTTTATTTACTTTGACAGAGAATCAAAGTATGGCTAACTTTTTCTTTTTTTACAGAATCTGAGTAAATGGAATGCAAATAGATTTTTCTTTGCTTATTATTCATATACTAAATTAACAATATGAGGCTATTAGCTTTGATAATTTAAAAAAAAGGCAGTTTCCCTCAGCACACTCTCCTGTGTGTATTATAGCGTTCCAAGTGGAGGGATCGTCTCTGGACTCCCTGAGTGTCTGCAGAGGATAAGCTGGTTTAGATGTAAAAAGGTACTTGGGGACAGTTATCCAAGGATCCCAGGTGATCTCTGACCTGTCCTGCACCCTTAGTCCTTCACTTAAACCCTTTTTTTCCCTTCTGGTCACAGTGCCCAGACGCTCGAATGCATTTATCACTGGATACCATGAGCATGGTGGACGACAGCTGCCTCTCACCCAGCAACTTCCACGAGATGGGGAAAGGTGGGGGCATTGCTGCGGGGGGCCGTGTCCACAGCATTGATGTCATTCTAGGTTTCAGCAAAGACCAGGACCCCCTGCTCAGCCCCGCCGGGGGCCCGCGGCCCCATAAAGTGGACATAGATGGTCTGGCAGAGCCTGGGAAGCAGCAGGAGCCCCAGTCACACCCAACATACAGCGGGCACCTTCCTCTCTGAGAAATGGGGGCACAGAGCAGCAGCAGCAGTATCATGGTAAGTCTGACTGCTGAAGCTGGGAATACAGGTTTCCAACATGGCAACATTTTAAACTGTAGTGTACCCCATTTTTAGGGTGGAGTATTTTTCAGTTCGGATCTTGTTTGATGATAAGGTTTTATGAATCATACAAAATTATCAAGGTTAATGATTTTACAGCAGCAGCATTGCTCCTAGGATCGAGCTCTGCATTCAGAATTTCCTGTTTGCATAAGAGGAGAAAGGGTTGATTTTGTCTGTACTGAAGTCAGGATATTGATGCTCTTTAGCACATAGAATAAATCTTAACTGACGCCTGAGCATAAAGACACTGGCTACCGATGAAAGTTTGAGTTTATTAATCAAAACAAAACATGTTCAAGAGCCAAACTGAGCTTTTCATCTCAAAAAAGTTTTAATTGGTATAAAGATCATGCATTAAAGACCACAGCATGCAGTAAAAAGACTCTCTTAACTTTAAAAACAGTTTCTGAATTAATGTCAACTTTAAAAACAATCATGCAAATAGATACATCATGATTCTTTATTTTCATTGTAGAGCTCTGTATTAAAAAACTAGTAATGTATCATCTTATAGGTTCTGTATCACAGCACATCTAAACCTGGGAATGGATAAAGTGTTGAAATCAGACAAACTTAGTTTGTCAAGACAAGTGAAACGATAATCAATAATCTGTTGGAAATGACACAATTACAGCACCAGAGGATGATGTGTTTCAGTGCAGCATTTCTATACAGTTCATGTTGCACACTGTTGCCCTGTAGAGCCTCTTGCATTAACAGAGTGGTCTGAGATTGAGAGATAAATCACAGAACAAGATGGTGGAGGGGCTTTATGTCCCCAAACCCAATCCATCCCCTTGCGGAATTCCCCTAATCTTCTCTTCTGTGCAGATTAGATTTTACAGTAGTTCATTCGGGTGTTATTGTTATCGTCCCCGTCTCAGAGTCAAATTCATCCTGTTTAATCTGAAGCTATTTTCACATGCAGGATCAGGCAGGTGGTTGATGATTTTGTTTTGTGTCAGAAATAATAAAAATGACATTTCCATGAACACAAGATGGATATACCTCCAATTCAAACTCAGACGCTGGATCCAGCGGAAGGGTGAGGGAGGGGGGGGGGGGGGGGGCATTAGTTTCCTTTGATTAACGTACATCAACACTAATGACATCATTCTTTTGTGTGTAACTATCCTGTGAAGTCAGCCCATGTTTCTTCCTGAATGAGCAACTTTTCTGTGTTTGGTGTCAGTCAAACCCCCCTCCCCTCTCTGTGCTGAGACGTTCTGCCGGCTGATAAACAGTGGGCAGCCTTCAGACCAGCGGCTGTGATGGTCTGACAGGCCCAGAGCTGGTCACTGAACCAGACCTGACCTCTGCCTTTGTCCGAGCCTGGCCTTTGTCATAGCTGCTTAATGAGAGGTGGATAAATGAACCCCTAAAAAAACTGCGCTGCCTCTGCTTCTGCTCCCGTTTGTCAGTTGAACGACCCCCTCCTTTATCTCCATTGACACATCTCCGTTACAGACACAAGCTCACAGTTACGTTTTTGTACAGTTTTTGCTTTAACTGGAACAGTAACAGGGAGCCGAACGTATGTTAAATAGAAATGTTTGGCTAAGATATCTTCCTTTTAAAAGCTGTAGCAGGTTTAATTAGATGATTTAATATTCACATGTATAATGCGAAAACCGGGAAGCGTATAGTGATGAACCTTCAGTCAGATGGAGAATAGAGCAACTGTGGAGAGAAATCCCAAACAACCCGAATGAATATGTAAGGAGGCTGATCGAGGTCTGCTCCTGGCAGACATAAACTCTTTTCAAGAAGCTGCTTCACAGGAGCTGCTGATCTGATTGATCTTTGGACTTTACTTATTTGATTATCTGCTGGATCTCTCTCAGCTCAATGTTTTTCTACTTTTTTGTATTTCTCTGTTAATGAAAATGGTATGCAAACATATAATGGTATATTAGAGATTCAGAGGAGATAAAGAGGAAGTCTGGAGGGAAATAGTTAATTGTGAGGCGTGACAATTGCAGTGGAACTCCTGTCAGTGGTATTGATGATGATGTTGAGGGATTGCAGACATGTTAATGTTTTATGTATACTCTCTTAGAAATAGACAAATATATGAAAAATAGCGAGAATTTGTATAGCAGTTTCGGTTCCCTGTCATTAAGACGGTAAGAAACTGCTTCAGTAAGTAATGTAACTGGCATGATTTATGCATCTTTTTGTGGGTACTTTAAATTTGAAGAAGATAAATAATGGAAACAACTTCCTTAAATCCGATTAGGAATGTTTTTGAGCTTCATAGAAAGTTCAGGGGATTGCTTGCTTCACTGACCTACAGTAGCCTATTGTTGCAGGTGTCAAACTAATGTCTGCTCTACTGGAAAGAGGGAACTACATTCTTCATTTGAACTCCCCATTCTTCTTAGGTCTTTCTTATAATCTGTTGTTGATGTTGTTTGATTCGAAATGTCTGATGTAAAAGAAATGGTCAAAACATATGTAAAGTAAACGTACAAGCCTGATTCATTTCTCTTGTGTTGTGAACAGATACTGGCCTTTTCACAAACAAGTGTGACGAGGAGCTGAGTGAGCTGAGGAAGAGTGTAGAGAGCGATGAAGGCAAGTCACCAGAGTCATGCAAAGACGATCAGCCCAAGAAGAAGCACAGACGCAACCGCACCACCTTCACCACCTACCAGCTGCATGAGCTCGAGCGTGCCTTTGAGAAATCCCACTACCCGGACGTGTACAGCAGGGAGGAGCTCGCCATGAAGGTCAACCTCCCAGAAGTCCGAGTTCAGGTAGGAGGAGCCACAACATGAGTCATGAAAAACAAGTTTTCTTAAAGCTAGATATAGGGGTTGCCGGTAGCTTAGTGGTTATGTTGCACACCCCATGTGCTGTGGCTATAGTCCCCTTTACAGCAGCGGTGGCCACGAATCCGACCTCGGCCCTTTGCTGCGTGTCACCCCCCTCTCTCTCTCCTCCCAACACTTCCTGTCTCTCTTCAGCTGTCCTATCCAATAAAGGAAAAATGCCCCAAAAATATCTAAAAAAAAAAAAAAAAAAAGGCTTGATGTTTTAGTACAGTTGAATACTTAGACACCTGCCTAACAAGGTGCTGGTCAATCTTAAGAGTTAAACTGTTGTTTTTTCCAAAAGTTCAAGCGCTGTTTAGGAAAACAGAGGATCTCTAAGCCTTTGGCTCGTCAGTATACAGGTTAGGAGATTGAACTTGACAGTTACAGGAGTACGGTTTGTGTTCCTGACTGTAAAAGCACATGTTGACAACGTCACATAGAGCAATAATGAAATACAGGTGCAGTTTTTAGATTTAAATTTTTTTATTTTAGAGGAAAAAACCAGACCAAGATTTGGACAAAATGCCATGTTTAAGATTTTCCAGGTTAGCTGTTAGATGGTGAAATAAAGCTCAAAACCAATCAAACATTTGTGCAACTCAATGTTAGCACCACATCCACTTTTAGTCATTTTGTGGAGCTTTTAGCCACATGCTGTGGCCGTCATCAATGATTTAAAGTTTGCTATGTAAGTTAATTTTAATGTATTGTTCAATTCAGAGATCTTTTACAGTTGAATGATGAATAATAACAACTTTCATAGGGTGCAGATGGCCTAGTGATGAGGTCATGCCTCATGTACAGAGGCCAAAGTCCTTCAAGCGTACGGCCCGGGTTCAAGTCCGCCCAATCATGTCATTCCCCTCTCTCTTCCTTGTTTCCTACTCTATCCACTGTCCTTTCAAATAAAGACAAAAAGCCCAAAATAAATCTAAAAGTGGATAATGCGTAATCGTTGCTCGTATTCAGGTGATTTCCATGATTATGTCCCACAGGTCTGGTTTCAAAACCGCAGAGCTAAATGGCGTCGGCAGGAAAAGATGGACGCCAGCACCATGAAACTACATGACTCGCCAATGCTCTCCTTTAACCGCTCGGCGCCCGTACACACCAGCATGGGTCCAATGACCAACCCCCTTCCCCTGGACCCATGGCTGTCCTCTCCCCTGTCCAGCGCTACACCAGTCCACAGCATCCCAGGCTTCATGGGTCCATCTCAAGGCCTCCAGCCGAGCTACCCCAGCCACAGCTTCCTCAACTCCAGCCCTCATCCTCCTCATCCTCATCCTCACCCTCACCCTCACTCTCACTCTCACTCACATCCTCACCCCTCTATGGGTCAGGGAATGCAGAGTATGGCTCCTCCGCCCTACCAGTGTCCTGCACCGTACCCTGACAAATATCCACTGGAGGACGTGGATCAGCGCAGCTCGAGTATCGCTGCACTCAGAATGAAAGCCAAGGAACACATCCAGTCTATGGACAAGACCTGGCAACCTATGTGACGAAACAAATAAAGCATGTTTAACAAAGATATGGATGACACTGGAAAAGAGAGACTTGACGTTGTTTCAACTGTTCAGGGTAACACTTAACTAAAATGCTGGAAAATGACAGTGACCTTTCTGTTACCCACAAAGAAAGGACATGGACGTGTTTGAACTTTGAAAACTGAGGACTTTCTTTGGACTTTCTCTCTATTTTGTTTTTCTCATCTCAAGGACTAAAAGCAAACGACTGAACTCTACAGCCATTCGTTCTCCCTTCTGTCTCTAGGTGTTTAGTCCTGCCTGGGTTGCTGTAAAAGCAAATGTTTTCTAAGTGACCATTGTTTTAATTACTAAGGAATGCTTAGATGTTGATCAATATTCACAGTTTGTCTCATGACAAAGGCAGGTCCAGAATTTTTTTTTTTTTAAATGTTCCTCTTTAAAGATGAGCAAACAAGAAAATCCCCTTTTCCTAGGGATTCTAAAATTTCTTTGCTGTCATTTCTGTCAACAATTGATAATCAAGTTAGACAAAGCACCTGCTATTAAGCAGTCCATTTTCACTTCTCCTTTCTGTTTTTTCCCACTCCGTTTGTGTTTTTACTAATTAATCCAATTGTTGCATTTTCATGGGTCAGCTGGTCAGTCTCCCACTTGAGAGTCAAGACTCCTTTTAATGTGAAAGCAGCTTTTTTTTTTTTTTTTTAATCAAGGCATACAGATACATAACAATGTCTCTGACTGCATATCGTGTTAATCTGTTGTTTTATATAAGCCGTGCCACCGTGCTCAGCTAATCTCCCAGCTACACTATGATCAACAATGCTTCTTGCCGGCTGCTGTTTCACTGATATAAACTGTTTAACTGGAAGTTGAGGACCGCAGAGGACCAGTGAGGCCTGCTGTCATTGGAAGAAATCTTTTTTTGATATTGAGGTGAGACACTGTAGAATAGATCAGAGATATGATGGCACCTTCTATGTGGCCCACAGCTGAGAATAAACCAAAAATAATTCTGCACAATTATGATGCACAATTATCTGATTTGTGCTGAGATGCTTTAAAGGAGGGTGGAGAAAGAAGGAAGGAAGGATAAAAGAAAGATAGATAGAAAGACAGGCTGAGCAGAGTAACCCTCTTTTTGCTTGAGTGGCTGTTGGAGGAGAAGACCTGTTGGCAGCTCACTGTTGGGTGACTGCGTGTACGTGCAGGGCAGCAGAAAGAGCCCTGTGTGATGCGTCACCCCACATAGTTTAGTCTTTGTTCGGCACAATTGATCCAAGTGTATCCTCTTTGTTTGAAACTGAAGGGGGTTTTGGGGGGTAGGGGGCACTGCACTAAAGTGCAGGCTGCACTAAATAGGCCCTTGTAACCATTTTGTCATTGAAGGGTTTTTTTTGTCTTAATCAAAGGAGGAGAAACATGGGTTGTAGCTGTTGATGTTTAGTGACACAGTATCGGTCTTTAACCATCTGTTATAGAGTCAAGCTCTGATTGTTTTTTAAACTTAACCATGGTGTGTTCAATAATGGCAGTACAGCTGGATACATTTGTATTTGGTTAAGCATACAGATTACATCTCACATACAAACTATGAACAGGAAGAGAAATAGTCTAACGCTACATGTTAACTTTTTTTTGACTGTTGTGGAAAAAGAGAGAGAGAAAGTCCTTGATGTAAAGTGCAATTTTAGAATAACTTTTATTTTTATATCTTCTTTGAACAACTACTGTCCCCTTAACTGCCCTTTCGTATGGTATGATATTTCACGTAAATATGATGTGAAAGTTGTGTCAACGGTTAATCATGTATCCACACTGAGAACTACAGCAGCAACACAAGTATAAAATCATTTCTGGTTCAGTTAAAAATCAACTCTTATACTGCTTACGGGGTTAGAAACACAGTTTGATATCTGCTGCTCGTCATGTGTCCTCATGTTTTGTAAAGTTGTTGGTTAGTGATGTTTAGCCTGCCTATTGGACAATGCCAGGACCTCATATGAGAAATACCTTTCAAGTACAGAGCGTCCTTAGGATATTACATACATGTGATTTGGGACCAATAAAAAGCCAAAGGTTAGAAAATGGACATATGCACTAGAAGTTTAACAGTTTTTTGTTTTTTTTTATGTGAAAATGTACAGTGTGTTTTTTTCTTTTTCTTGAATGGCTGTTTTGCTTCATATGTGTTGTAGTAATATCTGTGCTGTAGTGATTTCTTTCTTTTTTGCGTAAATTGTTTTTGGATCATTGATGTCCGTGTTCTGGAAAAAAAAGAAGATCAAGATCTACTGAAAATAAATATAGTTTGATAGAATATGTTTCCCACTTTCTCTCTGCAGCGCTTTCATGTTGACCTGTGCACTCATTCCCACACAGTCAGTGCTTTTTTTCTTCTTACCCCACTAAGTCTAAAGAGCAATCCAAGATTACTACAGTATAATCGTTATCATCTGACATACATGGGCAGACATTTTTCTTTCTTTTCCTGTAACACTAGTGCCCTGTCTCTCTTTGTCGTATAAGGGCTCTTTCTTTCGCTAGTTTTTTTTTTTTTTTACCCCTCCCGATCCTCTCTGCTGTTCCATGGTTTGGTGGCAGGGTGCCAGCCTGTTAGGAAGATGAGACTCCAATCAATCAGGGCTTTCCAGGGGGGCCTCTGACCACAAGGCCCGGCTCCCTAATTGCCCCCAGGCAGAGAGGCAGGCAGGCAACTCAGCCGCTGCAACACATGTTCACAGAGGGACCGGTGCCGCTGTGCGAGCTGGCCTCCTCAGTGTGTGAATCACTTTCCTAGACAGATGGAGGCCTGCATGGACCCAAGTACAGGGGGCATATGGGAAGGCCAGTGGATATAACAGAGTAATGTTGAATTTTTTTAACATCTTTTAAATCCTACACAGAAGTTTTAAGTTACTGCATTACACTCACTCAATTGGTTTATGCCTGGCATGAGGAGTATTACATCTATAGCTAAGCTCCTGGTTTTCTAAAAAGAAGACTTGTTCATCTTTACAGATCCAGACAGCAATTTAAACACAATTAACACCTTAATCCTCAAAGACCTTTTTTTAATGATGTGGATGAAAACATTTTATCTTTAGCAGAATAAACACAATTTTTAACCCATTTGCTTAAATCTAATGAAAATTCAACCAGTATTTCTTAAATCCATGTGTGAAATTTGTTTTATTATTTGAAAAACTGTTTTTTGATATATTCTATTTATTTTATACTTTTTGACAGAAGAATCTGTTCTCTGTTTAATGAACAAAAAACACAGGGACAGGAGTGATTTCACATCTCAGAGCCGGAATGCAGTATAATTGAATTTATTATAATGGATGTACTATTAAAAAATGATTATAATTCATTGTAGGGTATATAGGGGACAGTTTGCCAGTTTTTAGTTTTGTTTTTAGTTTTTGTTTTATCAGAAATTTGGTTGCTTTGCTCCGCATACAACTAGAGGGATTTCAATCCTTTCACTACTTCCACATGTTGACTTGTGTTAATGGGATCACATCCCACAGTGTTTCCAAACAATCATACACTGAATGTCTGAAAAAAAGATCAACTTCCTTAGGAAAAGAAAACATGGTCGAACAGACAATGATTGTGAGGAAGTCGAAGTGAGAGAAAGGAAGAAGACAAACATTAAAAAAAAGAGACTAAGCAGGAGAAAAGTGTGGGAGTGAGAGGCGGAGTGAGTAAGAGTGGAGAGGATGAGGGGAGGGAGGGGGAGGGAGGGGGGTAGAATGGCTGCTCATCAGAGTTAATGATGTAGAAAATCCCCCAATTAGAGCGTTTTCCTGTGTTGCAGGATGAGTTCAGAGCAGGGTCCTCTGACAGCCTGAGGATTAGTACCCATGCCGGGCTGGGCCGAGCTGAGCCAGGCCTACACAGACACTAACTAACTGCTGGACAGCTTGGCACTGCTCAGCTGGGGCCTGGTCGGGGCTATAGCCACAGCCAGGGGCCAGGGTAGGCATGCGTTTAGCACCGAGTGAGTGGCACATAGAAAAGCATGGGAAAAAGAGCAGCAGCAGGATAACAGGGAAAAATACCTGGTCCTACCTAAGAGTCATTCTCTCACATCAAAATCTCACATTTTTCATTCAAAGGGTACCTTCTTATTTACTTCTGACTAAATCCAAGATAACTCCTTTTTTTAAACTATTGAATATTTATCCTTGTTGATATCTGATGGTTGGTGTATGGTGTTTACATTTTTTCATCTTAATGCTCTCATAATCTAGTGTGGACATCAGCATGGCAAAGAAAATCAATCAGTCCACATGCTGCTATAGATGTCAAATAATAAATCACAAGATGGTGAAAAAAGGTATGTGTGGTTGTGATAGAACAGGAGGGCACTCTTTCTTATCTTTCTGACATGATAATTGAGACAATACAGCCAAACATCAGTCCACTAAAGACAATAAAAGCCTTCTCGCTAAAGTGAAATAGATGGAGAAACAAGTGAATGATGAGGGGGCTTAAACTTGAATTGGTCTCAAAAAAAAGGAGACTTGAGACCTGAACATTGATTTTTGACCTTCTGGATACGTATTATGTAAGTCGCCATTGGTGTCATAGTGGGGGGAAAAGTGGGATTGACTACCTCAGGCCCCAAACAGGGATGCTGGAAGTCAGCTTGAGTTGGGGGTGCTGAGAGAAGTCATTTGAATGATGACTTCACACTCTGCTGCACAAATTCACATTTTACAATTTACAATTTTACAATTTTGGGATTATTCATTTATTGAAAAAATGTTGTGGACATACTAAGCACATTACAACAGCATTAGTAAGTTAGCAGGGACAGCAGTCTGCAGTGCTGTTCACACACTTCACTGGTAAACTGAGTTAGGCTACCCTAGGACAGACGATCCTTTGAAAGTTTTGTGTCTTGTTCCTCCACCTTGGTGCGCACATTCTCCATAACTCCGTTTGAGCTCTAATTATCTCATGGTGTGAACCCATTGTGATCTATAAAAGCATTCTTTTAGATAATAAGGGGGAAAAGTTTTTTTAAGTGCTGCCACCAGCACACAGTGATATAGGCAACTTTTTACGAAACAAACCTAAAAAGTGCAATTGTTATTGAAACCAACCTTAACGCAAGACACCAAGTGAGCAGTGGAGCTCGGCTTCAGGCAAATTGGACTTGAGCAATCAACTTAAACTCACAAGTCAAGGTAACACTTATGCTGTCTGGCTTTGATTTCTTTGTGCTGAACACCTCTCTGAAACACCTCATTGCGTGTGCAATGATAAAAGCTCTGACTTGCTCTGAGTTGTTTCACACTGAGGGCAAGTTATAGACTACTATCGTAAGCGAAACAAAAAAAAAGCGGTCACACATATTGGTGTACTACATCCACATATCCCATAAAATGGATTAAACATACGTGTAAATGTTTTCATTGGCTGTTGGTTTTAACAGCGCCTGATTTAAACATCCTTCCTCCCTTGCCCCATGGAGGTTTTTTTTAAATGCAGTACTTAAAACAGCAGGTTTTTTTTTTTTTTTATGTCAAACTCAAAGTGATCCCATTGGAGAAGGTCATCCCATTAGCTCAATGGATTGAGATCCCGCCTCATGTACCAAAGATTTGATTCGTCTGCTGTTTGGATCCAGACCTGTGCTGGAGATCAGTTGATATTCTAATCATGGATCATCTGCAACCATAGCATCAGATAGAGTTTGCAAGATTTATGTTTCGTTGCTTTTAAGCCACAAACTGACATCAAGAGTTTCCTATTCCTTACAGCTAAAGCACGAGTTGTTCCTGTTGACACAGGGCATATAAAGGGCTGAGTGAACTTTATAGCATTGTGTTATGTGTCAGTGAAATAAAACATGAATCAATATGCAAGGTCATATGTTTTTTAATAAATAGGCACATTTTGTTAGGACTATTCTAAATACAGTTTATGAAGTTGTTTATCTTACCAGTTTTATTGAGTAATTCAGAAAAGGCAATTCAATCATCTTGCAGATTTTTTTTCATGGATTGCAGTTGATGGTTATTTATTGTTTTAAACTGTTGCACAAATTGGGGTCGAACATGGCTTATTGCTTTTATAACTCGGCGGCAAAGAGGTGGTTTTGTGAAGAAGGAACCTTTGCAGCTGGTTTCTAAGGTTGTTGGTGCTATGATGACACTTGAACTCTCACAGGGTCCAGTAGTTGATGATAAAACTGCACTTCACCAATACTGTGCTATACTTCATCCCAGTACATCAGTGGTCAACTCAGAAGTCTCACTGCAAGCAGGCACCAGGTTTGAATCCTGCAGATGCCTTGTAGCATGGAGCCGAGATGTTCTGGCTTCCACCCACTGAGAACTTCCAAGAAAATTCCTACAAATGTCAACAATTTCCTCAAAAACATTTAGAAATGTTCCTACAAAATGTCGTAACTCTCCTCCAGTACACAGTTACTGTGTTCATTTAGGACCGCTGAGTCCCCATTGACTAATTGATTAATTGTGCAGTCTATTATTTCGCTCCTGCAGCCCAGCAGATCTGAAAGGGCCACGGCTGGAGTTAACAGTCTTATTGGGAAGACGCGTTCCTTGGACAGGACAATAAGGGAAAATAGCGGAATTAATTGGGTTTGATTAAGAGAGCTTTACAATGGGACACAGCTTTTTCGCATGACATAATTAGAGGTCAGTTGAGGGGGTCGGGGTTGAAGGGGGGGATTTGCTTGTTGGCGCCAGTGTTGTGTGGGTGTGTCTGTGAGGGAGACAGATAGACAGACAGAACTGGGGAGAGGGGGTTGCCTTCTTCACACTTGTAGAACTATGTTGTGTGTCCGATGTGGTAAATTTCTATTGGCTCACTCACCAGAAAGCACACAGTGAGGTTCACATGGGGCCTCTGTGTGCTCTGTGTGTGATTATTACCACTACACTTGCCAGCATTAAAGGCACAGTTTTCAGCCTTTTGTTACAGCTACATGGTCATTAGCAGTGCATTTCAGAGGCTGCATTATTGTATAGAAGAATGGTGTGTGTGTGTGTGTGTGTGTGTGTGTGTGTGTGTGCTGGGGGCAGCAATGTTTTTTGATGAGAGCATACATGTAGAAAAAATCAAGCATTTATCACCAAAACACACATTATGAGCTTTTAATCTTGTTGCAGTATAATCTAAAGAAGCAGGCAGGGCGTGCGAGCCCTCAGGACTAAAAATACATCTGAACTGTCATGAACCCAAACAAGGCTTCATGCCTGATTAGATTATCAAATATTTCATCACAAGCCCTGCACCTGCTTTCTTAGAAAAAGTGTGATGTCACTGTGCTTGGAATACCTGGGATTTGGGATAGAAAATTAGCCCACAGCTAAAGTGTCTTTGAGCAAGGAATTTATGACAACACAATTAACAATAAATATGCACACATTGCACATTCTGATGCAACAAAGTGGAGGGTACAATGGGCATCAATTCAAATAACCCTGATGAGTAAATCATTTTCATATCTCATCTTGTTGATTTATACATCCTATTGTTATTTGTGCCTTAATGTCACACAGACATGTCAGTGTTTCAGGGCGTTCAGGGCCCATGTTCAGAAAGTAGCATCAAAGGATTGCTGTGTGTCAGACTGCAGAAAAAGCTGAAGGTGGGAAATGAATAAAAGACAAGCAAAACCTTATTCAAGTTCATTTAGAAGGAGAGGTTTAGGACTTGTGGAGGAGAGTACATCAGAGAACCAGAGCAGTCCCGCCTTCAGATGAGTCTGTAGCTGGTCTGATGTAGAGTTGGCACGCCCTCTATGGTTGGTGTTTGGACATGACAAGGAACTCACTCATACTGAGGTACAATAACACACTACATTATTTTAATTTAACGTAAGCGGTACTTTAGATTGACCATCAGAAGTGGTGCCCGAGCTTTTTTTATAAGCGGTGGTATTTATTGCGTGTTACTGAAAGCTCACAGCAGCATGAGATATTAAATAAAATACTTTTAAAGTTTGATGTTGTAGCCTACTGTTACGAATGAATACTAGTCTATGAAACACTTTATGACCCGATCCCTACCCACTGTAAAATAACCAGTGATCGCAATGGGCTACTCAACAAAAGAAAACCTCTCTCGTTAGTAACATTACATTATTTAGCACTTCCGTGTTTTTGATTTGACAGACATACGTCACGACGATGAGGGTCAAAAATCCCACAATGCACATGTATCTTTGTCTTAGTTACACTAAAACACTACACTACAGTTGATAACGTTATGTCATTTTGTTTCTCAGAAATGTCATTAATTTTTTGTGGCTGCTAAAAAGTCATCACTATTTGTATAGTCACAGAATTAACCTGAAGTTAGCGAGTTGGTCACTTTTTTCTTTTTCTGTCCGTTTTTGGCTTACTAGTACGGTGGCCGGTAGAGGTCAAACACTCAGCAACTGATGAAATGACATATATTTAGAAAAACGTGCAGCATATATAGAAACGCTGCAAATTCAAAAGCAAATGCAAACTACCACAACAAATTCAAAGGCTGACCCGCGCTGCAAAGACACAAACACGCTGCAAATAGGCAAAACAACGGCTTCAGCATCAAACACGCTGCACGTACAGAAACGAAACTTAAGTCAAAACCAATATTTACAGTCTATGGTTTTGACCATGGTTTTGACTTAAGTTTCGTTTCTGTACATGCAGCCCGTTTGATGCTTATGCCGTTGTTTTGCCTATTTGCAGCGCGTTTGTGTCTTTTCAGCGCTTTTCAGCCTTTGTATTTGTTGTGGTAGTTTGCATTTGCTTTTAAATGTGCAGCATTTCTACATATGCTGCGCGTTTTTCTCATTGTATGTCGTTTCATTTGCTGAGCATTTGACCCCTACCGGCCACCTACCGGCCACCGTATACTAGAGTTTGACTAAAGACCTACATGATATGCTTTCACGAGTGTTGACTTCTAAGTGCTTTAATTTATCATGTGAAATATGTTTTTCTATCAACAAGATGTAAGCCAGTTGATTCAAATAGCTCATTTTCTCATCTTTGAGAGTTAGTATTTTCAGGATTCTAAATAGTATTTAAGCAAACACTGTAGAGTGAGTTAAAAGCCCAATAGCAGTCACACAAATAATAAAAATAGCTCCTCCATTTAAATGATTTGTATCTTTTTGTGTATGTTGGCCAGCTCTCCATCCTTCCAGCTTGTGAATGCGGGATCTGGATTTCAACCTAGGATGGATCCAGATTATGAACATCGCCTTCTTCGTCAGATCAATATTCAAAATGACAACTTGAGCCCTGTTGTAAATTATTTTTTACTCCCTTCCTATGTTTTTTTGTGTTCTTTAATAAAGTTAATGTTTCACATAAACACTGGTCATATAGTATTATTGAGTTCTATTACAAATCAACATTTATGAACAAGTGAGCAAACCTCCAGAGCCTCAGAAACACATACAATTAAGACAATTTGTGGTCGTTTCAGAAGCTGACACAGGCTCTCAGGTCTGCAACCTGGCCTGGTCTAAACATGCCAATGAGCTAGTAAGGGTCTCCAGATACACACTTGTGTGCAAACTCTTTCCTGCCAATACATTTTTTTGAAATTGAGGTAATGTTTGTTGTAGGAAGAGCTACATGGCAGTGCAGTTTACTCTCTCTTTTTATATTTGTACCTTTTAGTATTTGTTTTACTCAAAAATGAGTCACTTTATCCTTCTCAATTACACCTATTCTTAACCCAATTATCACTAACATTCAGTTTTAAAGATCTTTTTAAAGCAACTCTGTATATTCCTCTACTTTATTTGCATAACACTTTTGGACATTTGGCACATCAAGATAAACCAGAGCAAGAGCTGCTCAAAATTAGGGCCTGATAATCTTTGTCTACACTTCAGTGTTTTGAATCAAATCTTTTGTGTGGCTGTACGTTGGCAGTATAAACATAGTTTTCTTATATAAGTTTCAGTAGAGCGTACAAGGAACAATCGTTCAAACTAAACTGCACTAAGTCCCCAGCAGGTTATAATGTTGCCTCTTTTTTTCCCCAGGTAAGCACTCATGGTTATTCTCAGAACCAGATCTTGGTGTGGAAGTATCCAGCGCTCACACAGGTTACAAATCTCACAGGACACTCTTACAGAGTTCTCTATCTGGTCAGTGTGTGTGGTTTTTATAGTGACAATGTGATCTTGTTGTTTGTCATGCTAATTGTAAAAAATAAAAAGCCTTATTTCTGCTGAGGGCTGGAGATGAGACGCTAGGCTTTTGGAATGTTTTAAAAAAAAAAACAAGGTCTACAAAGGTGAGAAAGCACTTATTATGTTCTGTTATTTGAGACCCCTTATATCTGCCCAACAATCAACTTTGTTTTCTGTTGTTGCGGGAGTCTGTATCAGTTTTAAACCTCTTCACAAGGATACGATAAATAAAAAAAGACAAAATCTCTGAAACTCTACTTTGAGCTGATCCTGGCCGTGCCACTGGATAGCTCATCATCATGATGCTATGGACATACAGCACACACTATGAGGCATCATGGGACATTTGTCATAGAGGAAATGGCAGCAAAACAACTGAGTATTTGTATGCTAACATTTTTCAGGGAATTTATTTGACTGTTGTGCTCTCAGTAGAAAGGTGTTTTTTTTCTATAGTCAACAATGTTCAAGTGGGTTGAAGAAATCAAAAGCCTTACCGGTACTTCATTTTTTTTTTTTTAAATATTGTTTTCATTCTTGTGGAATTAGAAATGTACAGTCACTATTTTATTTTAATTAGGTCTTATTTATTGAATGTTGCCATTGCAACTTTCACTTTTAAAATCTTCTAAGGAGAAAAATGCCAAAATATATGATGACTAAAACATTCACATCATCACCCACTAAGGCCTTTACAGTATGTGCACCATGTGTACAGTGTCTTTAAGCACACTAAAGCCAAGAGAGACTGGCTGAAATGCAGATTTCCTCCTGTCTAAAGTCTAATGCTGTGCATCAAGACATGTATTACATGGTTGATTCTTTGTAGTAAAAAACGAAATAAAAAATGATGTAGCTAAAGAACCAGTGTAGGAATTGTTGAATACTGATCATGATTCACGTTAAATCAGTTGAGGGATTAGATTGTTTGATGCTTTATCAATCTTCTTGATGGAACATTTACAGTTGAAAATGTTTAAATTAATGTATCTCCCCTTTTAATCCACTGTTATACACCTTAACCCTTGTGTCCCCCTTGACCATTATTTGGTTATTTGAGTTGTATTTTCTGCATTCATTCAGGCTGTGATCATTCTCCAGTCTTCATATTAAGTAGAGATGGGTAGTTATAGAAGTTTTGACTTCTAATGAATAGTAATTACAACACCTTTCTACCCTGTGATAAAAAACAACAACAACGGGTACATCCTCTTTGAACCAAGATTTTGCAGACTGGCTTCCACTGACACCACATTTTTTAAAATGTTCCTGGAAATGAAGGTTAATGAAGGTGATTCTCAATTTTATGATGTTAAAGTGGTGCACGCTTGAAAATATTTCAACATGTTTAAAAAAAAAAAAAAAAAAGATATGTTACTATGATACAAACAGACATGCAAAGGGTTTCCATTTAATAAAAAAATGTTTAAATTAAATCAAATAGTTTTAATAAGACAACAACAACAACAACAACAAAAAAACAAAAAAACCTGGAGGACTAGATCAAAAATGAACTGACAGTGACTACTATACTGACACAACTATCTTTTTTGTTGCAACTTATTATTATTATTATATTAATTGTAGGCCTATCTGTTAAAAACAATCATTTATAACATCTTTATCAATCTCAGGATAGTAACCATAGTAACAGACTCCGACCAGCGGCGGCGCTGCGTCAACGAATACGCTGCCCAGTGGCCGGAAGGAAAAACTGTGAATGGGCGGGAAGTTAAAAAAAAAAAAAAAAAAAAAAAGTATTTCAGACTTAGTTCAAATCGTAAACATTACATTTCAACTTCGTGTATGTTTATTTATGTATTTATTTTGTCGCATCGCCTAGAAGAGTATATTCAGTGTAAGTAGTGTACTATACTTGTTGACGTGTCAGCTCTCTCGTCGTTTTCTTCTCGGTCGTCTGTCAGGATGGCGGACAGAAATCTTGTGCAGGAGTTGAAACGATGGGCAACAGGGGAGTTCAGTCTGTCTCCGGAAAGTCTGCCAAATGACAGCTATTTTAAAACGTAGGTTTAAAGTGTTATGTAGGTTATGTTCCCTATTATAACCGTGCATACTAAGGGGTTCCTAACAGGTGATGCGGAGTTAACCAGCTGGTGGTTTGTTTGTTTTTCTAGGCTCTGTGTTGGCTCTGGGAAGTCCATATGGAAATATGTGATCCAACACGTTTTGCAACAGAGGTTAGTCTTCATACTGCCTACTCTTCTTTATGCACGACCGTCCATGTTTGTCATAATAAGTAACATCAAGGCATGTAGTGATTGTCATAAACAAAATTGCAGCTTCTTGAAGAGAACTCAATGAGTGTTTCTGTTTTTACAGGAACGTCCGGATCATGCGTGGGAATCTACAGTGGTATCCATTCTGGCCCTGATTAGGGAGTTGTTGTTAATGTCTTATTTGCAGTGTGTGCATTTATGTGAATATTTACATGTGACACATTTAGTAACTGAGTTGCACTGTTGTTGTTGTTGTTGTTGTTGCCTGTGGTCATCAGGTAGTTGATAGTCGAGCTTGTATAAGGCTTTCTGCTGCCAAGGATGCAAATAACCTTTGTACTCTCTGTTAGGAAGTCTTTTTCTAAACCCTTCAGGGACATTTGTGCTGCATCATATTTACAGCCTCTTAAGTGCTGTCATTCCTCTGTCAGATATCACTTAGTGTACACTGAATGTCTTAGCCTTCATCATTCCTCGGCTCAGTAATGTCCTTGACTTTATAATGTTTAAGGTACAAAGTGCTTCAAAACAAAGAGGTATGAAAACGACTTATATTCTCCTTGTAATGTATTGCTTTTTATAATTACTTACTGGTTATAGTACTTAATCAGTCTTGAGTTATATGACTACTGGTACACAAAATGAAAGTCTTACATTTGATAAAATAAACAGTCACTGATAAAATAAATGTTTTAACTGCTGGTGTTTTTTTATATTCAGTTGGAGAAAGCTGAAGGCCAAAGTGAGGCTGCTCAGCAGAGAGAGCTTCAGAGGAAGATCGAGCAGCTGAGAGCAGAGATTAGTCACCTGGACTCTCAGATCAGTGGAACAGAGGAACAGTTGGCCGCACAAGGTTGGTACATCAGAACGGTAAGGGTTGGGTGTCTGATCACAACACAGCACTCAAGTAAAAGTCAAGGAAGAAAACCATGTTGCAATATGCCTGTTTCCATACTTCAGCAGTGTCTTAAGTGATCACAAACGCAGTGTTTCCTACTTACAGAGCAGTCCATCAGCCGTACCTGGACCAAGGTGGAGGACAGTCAGCATAGAGAGCTGCTCCTACAGGCCTTCAAGCAGCGCTGCATCTTGGGCAGCAAAGTGCTTACTGATGACACACAAAAGATCAGTGGACACTGCCAGACACTTGAACAAACTGCCAGGTATGGAGGAACTTTTAAAGTTGTGGTATATTAGAAAAAAAAGACAAGGCCAGACCATTTACACAGATTCACTAATCATATAGTCTTAGATATATATATATATATCGTCATGTAGTTTATAAGTATTGTATTGTGTTTTGCAGGAAAGCAGAGATTGAAGTGCCTTTCGATCATAAGCCTTCCAGCTGCAGTGATGGAGAAGATCTCAACTCCAAGTCCACTGCAGAGGCACAGGTCCTGGTAAGAGCTGCTTCAATCTAGTCTGTCATTTATTGAAAGGATTTTAGAGCAGAGATGGGACCGATCCGATATAGCGGTCCGATATTAACTTAATTTACGTATCGGGTATCGGACTGACGGCGCCGATCCACGTCACTTATCAAGAAAGATGGTTGGAAACTTTAAACATTCTCAGCTCGTACAGTCTCACTTTGAAGACCTTTAGGCTGAACTGTAAGTGCCCACAAATCGTCTCCATGACGACGTTCAGAGGAGGTAGAACAGATCCTTCTATATGATCAATTTACAACTCTTACACTTCAGTTTAAAACATTTAATTTGAAAACCTCACAGTTGTTGCTGCTTTCTGTTTGTATGCAAAGCCAGCACAATGCAATGCCATGTTTATTACATCATTGTATAGCCTCACACATAATACCAACAATAACACTATTAGTTATGATAACACAAATATCAGAATCAGTATCAGTACATGTGAATCGGAATCGGATCAGAACTGGGGGGAAAAAAGGATCGGTGCATCTCTCGTTTAGAGTACACTTAGAGTCTGGCATGCACAGTGCTGGTGTTTTAATGTTATCAATGTGTACCTATCTCAGTCAGAAAGCCCAAAACTAAAGAATGAAAACTCACCTGACAAAAATGCCTTTGCTTTTACAGTATTGTATAGGGAGGAAATGGGTTGAAACATTAAATTAACATTAACATATTAAGTGAGAAACTGCATTTGATCAGTGCTGTGCCTGTGTAACTTGTAATACCATATTGAGAGTAATTAATACAGTTTAACATTAATAAAGGTAAAGCAGCACATAAGACTTTGTTTTGCAAAATGCAAAAAAAAACAAGTTAAAAATGCACATTGAATAAGTTTTCAGTTGATCAGCAGTTATTCACACATCTGAGAAATGGTAACCTGTCTTTTGCATAAACGCTGCTGACTGAAGTACATCATCGCATGTTTTTTGTTTCCTGTTAGCGTGAAGTGAGACAGCTGTGTGATGACAGGATCCACTTCTATTGTTCTCTACAAGAGAGCGAACTGAAAACAACGCACTCTGCAGCCAAACAGTAAGGAATCTATCTACCACTGCTCATCAGACCTGTAGTATTGCTTAATATGTAAATTATGTAACCTGAAACTTGTGTGTATATATATATATATATATATATATATATATATATATATCTCGCTACAGATATTCTCAACTTCTTCTTTAGTAGATGAATTGGTCTCTCTCTGTTTCCTCTCAGTCTGACTCGTGAACAAAGGACAGCTGTGTTTCAGTACTGGCTCAGTGCTGTTGAGGTTAGTGTTTTTAAAATTGAAACTCATTTCATTAAATATATAGCTACTTGTGTATTTGCTGTTATTTCCACTTTGCATGAAGGTGTTGTTGCTTGTCATATTGTCAGAATTTGTTGGGCTGTTATCCTCCAAACCACGTCCTCTCAGCGCTGGAGTTTTTAGCTTCCCGAGAGCAGAGGGAACTAGATGAGAAACTCTCCTCTCTGGATGTAACACGGGATGTAACAGCTCTACGGTACAGCAAACGTCCTTGTTATTGTCATGTTCTCTCTTTAATTTAGATTATAAAAAACCCCAAATCAAAACGTTTCTCCTAATTTTATGATTGCAGCTTCCGCTATGAAAGCAATCACCTACTGGACATGTCGGCAGAAGATGAAAATGAGTTGCCACCAGTTAAGACCCTCTTAGAGGTGCATAACAGAAACACTCATATACACTGAAATGTGCTACACAGGAACTTCAAAGTTGAAAATATTATGATGTGTTTCCATGTATTTATGATTTACTGTTTGTTTTTTCTTTGTGGAATGACACATTTGATGTTCCAGGCTGCTTGGGAAGAGGTGGAGCAGAGTTTGGTGGAACTGGCCCAGACTCGCTCCAGAGTCCAGCAGCTCCGTAACCAGCTGCAGGCCCGCAGGAAGGAGGCCGAGCTTGAAGTGTCTGTTATCGCAGATGAGAGCCACAACGACACCTTGGCACTGTAAGCAAACTCCCTGTAGAGTTTACTGATGAGGTTCCTGCAAGTCATGAATAGTATACATATATAAATGGTAGTATTATTAATATTATTGTTTTACAATCGGAGCTCATTAATGCCAAACTGGCTAAATGAAGACTAAACAAATGTGTCGAAGCAGTGCTCAAAGTGGCTTGCTGACGGTGAGGTTGAGTGCTGAAAAACCTTCTAAAAATACCATACACTTAACATCATTGTTGATTTTTGGGTAAGTTTTTCTCACAAAAAAAAGCTAAATGACGTGGTACAAATATACCTGTCTGCAGCCATGTATAGCCTAGCTTCCATGCCGGCATCTCCTTTAGGTAATACACCTACTATTGACTAGTACCTTATACAACCCCACTTCAAAAATACTGAACTATCCTTCAATATTTTTTTTAATTGTTGCTGTCAGGTCAGCTCTTAAAGTGGAACTCCAGTGTGTGATGCAGGCGGCAGCCAGGGATCATATTAGAGAGCAGTGTATCCAACTTGACCACCATGCCAGAAGCCGTCAGGAGGTGCTGAAGAACCTGCGCTGTCAATGGCAGAGCATCCTTGACTTCAGACAACTAGTGGTGAGAGCTAACTCATTGCCACAATGACACATTGGAAACATGTAAATATCTGCCAAGCTCATATGAGCTTATAACTAGAGACATCTGTATTTCCAACTTAAATAATGTAACATTTTGCTTTGTCTTTCCAGGTTGTAAGGCAGGAGCAGATCAGAGGTCTGATTAAAGGGAACTCGACAGCTAAGATGGAGCTGCTTCGTCTGCAAACAGAGGTGTGGATGTGCTTCTGTTTGTACCATTGGCTTCATTTTGTGGTGAAAATGAACATTTGTTGTCTCTTGAGGATTTGCATCACTCTGTCTGGTTACAGTTACAGGAATTCATCCAGGGCAAACTGGTGCCACAGTTTGAAGATGTCACCACTTCTGCCAACAGTCTGAGGAATTCTATTTTGAAGGAGGCCAGACAGTTGGGAACAGTGTCCCTTCTTGCTCTCGACCGGAGGACTGTCGAAGGGTAAGATCAAGTCGCCTGGTACATGAAGATGTAAATCCCAGTCAGATCAATAACACCCAGTTTGCAAATGAGTCCTAAACATCCAAAGGATCAAATACTGTTTCAAATGGGTTAAGGGGTTGGAAAAATAAACTGAACAGTCAAGTGTGGCTCCAGCAGAAATGGCAACAACATGGTTAATAAGGGCGAACTCGCACTAGGCAAAGTAATCCCGCACTGTGCTTAAGCCCGATTGCTTAAGCACAATTTATTATAAACTATAAACCCGGCATAGGAAACGTCTGTGTGAATTTTCACTGTGAGCTTTGTGGCTGTTGAAATAAGAAATGTTCTAAAAATTGAAAGTCAATAGTAAGTATTACTAACAATTATTAAAAGTCCTGAAGATTCAAATCAATTGATTAAATAGTAGTTCATGCAGCACATACAGTAGTATGACATCAACATATAGAATTACTTTTCTCAACTAAAAACAGTCAGCATGTCATGTCTCCCACTGCCCTGCCGGAACAGTATGGCTACTCTTTCTGCTCCAGGACCTCAGGATTAACAAATTAACCAATGAGCACAATCAACAACAGCATAATGCAAGGCCAAGGAAGTGTATGGATCAAAGCACTCACACTAGTCAAACCAACAGGACTTTAGGGGTGAACCGTGGTCCGGATTGCCTAGTGTGAGTGCACCCTAAAGAACACTCATCACAGGATGGGAATCTTAGTCTTGATTAAGTGGTGACCATCGCTCTATAGATAGGTAATAGATTGTTTGTTCTTTTCTATTTTTCAGAACTCAAAGAATCCCAGTGTCTTGGTTGTCCGTCAATCGTTTGAAGTCCCCGGCCTTCAGCAGCTTGTGTCAGAGCCTGGCATTCCCACTGTACAGAGTAAGTGTGGGCATCAACTAAAGTGCAACACTTTATATGCCTGTTAGTCCTTAAGTGAAGTCACTTTAATTCATAATTAAGTGCTTGATGATTCAGTACTGGAGGTAAAAGTAACTATAAGCTATTATCCTGTAACCACTAGACCTGTGCAGTAAAACCATTTATGCTATGATAATAATAATGAAGTATTTTCACCTTTCTAAACATTGTGAATTGTTTTATTAAAAACATTAACTTGTGTTTCAAAGTGGGAAACTTCTATGTAGTCTTCAAATCTAGCATAGTCACTCTACATTTTAGGTAAATATTTGACTTTTTTACTTTTGCCTGGGAAATGTGCTTTTCGAAACTTGTTGCATTCATGAAAGTTGTGCCTTTATCTCTAGGAATTGCTCTAGCTCGTGTCCACATGCTCAGCTTGGTTTTGATTATCTGTGAGACAGTCACTGCTATCACTTGACTCACTCCTTAATAGCTGTGCTGATATTATCCATTCAAATCTGTTTAACTGTATAGAGGCATGACATCAACAGCCTTGAAGTTTCTAGTCTGCCGCACATTTGCTTTATTGGACGATCTACTTGTCTCTCAAACAAAGCGTGTGTAATTTTTGCTTTTATGATCGACAGATTTGATTTGAATGTCTTTTCTTCTCTTTTGCCTCTGTCTCTGACTTCAACACCTTTTTTCTTCTTCTAATTTTTCTGACACTAAAGGCTCCGGAGGGACTGTGTTGTCAGGCGCGCTCCCAGAAGCTTGAGTTGCGTTTTCTCTGCCAGTTACTGCAGCTTCACTCTGCGTCTCTGCAGAAGACACAAAAGGAAGCAGAACTGTTGCATGCATCTGATCAAAAAGGTAACCAGGGGAATTCATCGGGAGAAGCTTTTATTATATTTAAAAAATACACAGTAAAAAGGGCTGTGATTGGATTCTATGAAAAAACTTGTTTAAAGATGTTTTTATGAATGAAAACTTATTGTATACAATATGCGTCTTAGCTCTGCTGTCCAGAGTTGTGGAAGAGGATCAGAAGCTCCTGAAGACTATGGTACCACGAGCCAGAAGCTTCACCCAACATTGCACCCAAGGCCTTTCATATGGGAGCCAAGTAAAAACTGCTATCTCCTACTGGTAAGGCCAACTTCCAAAGTAGATACCTGCTTGTAAAACACATTAGCTGTTAAACAGCGTATCCTTTTTTTTTTTTACACAGTGTCCATTAAAGAGCATTATTATTATCTTTGTAATGTCAGTCTTTTCATAGTCCCTCGTTCCTATCAGTCAACATTTTATCACTGCTTTCGGAAATCAGACCACGCTGGTTTTCAGGGTTTTGGATGAGTCTGACTGTCTGACCATTGTCCCCTGACCCCCATATGCAAGTGAAGATGAAGTTAAATGTCTAATAAATAAATAACTATGCTAATTACAAAGACATGATCCTGAACTAAACAAAGACTCAGTTGAGTCCAAACGTGTAGACACATCCATGTTAATAAAAGATTTTTATCCTGCATCAGAGTGCCTCGGACTTTCAGTTTAGACTGCCATTTCTTCACAATGAACTGTTTGTAATTAGGACAGTTGTTTATTTATCCGTCCCCTATGCTTGAAGAGCACCTGATTCCTCTACATTTTTTGACCCACTTTGAAGCACTCACTTCAACCATTTTTCTATGAAGATGAAGTTAATTTGAGTTTTTACTTTGCTTGTTTGGAATGAATCCATTCACTCACTACTGTTTTTTGTGTTAACATACACTTAAGTGATGTGTGCAGACACAGTTACAGTGAGATGGATGAAGATAAAGAAACCTTGACATTGTTTTCCAAAAAACAAAGTGTTTAGACGGAGAAATTAACTGCATCTCTGATGGTTCTACGACTTGTGCTTTAAAATAATGTAGTCCATTGTTGAGTGCAAGAATATATGCTAATGTTATAAACTCATTAAGGCCCTCATTTTCAGTTTCAACAGAAGAGTAATTTTATTAGACCAACATATTGTGTTATTGCCTTACCAAAGTTTGTAGTAATGTGTTGTGGTTAGAGACCCTGTTTTCTTTATAGCCTTTAATCATACTCTGTTTTAAAATGACACTGATTTGATAGATTAAAGGATTGTTTTGGATTTATTCCATTAGTCAGGAGTTGGGTAGTTTGCTGATTAACCTTTTCTGTTTTGTATGTTTATATGTTAAGGTGGGAGAGGCCAGCCCAGCATATCCTACCTGAGGTCAGCAAAGGAGGACTGACTTTTCAACAGTGGCTACAAAGGTGGAAACTTGCCACCAAAGCCTCTTAGAATATGGACTGAAGTTCACATTGCACATTGAAGTGACTATGTAACCATACTACAGTAGTTAAAAAAAAATGAACAAAATCAAACCTTTCTTTCTATTTGTTTTTCCTCAATGCTGCTTTTGATGTTGAACCATGTGAAAGTTTATCACTAATACACGATTTTAAATGCAATCATTTGTTCCTCTCTTTCTGGAAATCCATTGTAAAAGACAATAAAGTTGTTTAAAACTGCCTCCTGCTCCTGTATTGAACCAGCAGCATCGACCCTTGCAGCATTTTGCTAATATCCTTCCTGAATGGACTGTATATTTACTGATCAGTCAGTCAGCGCCCAGTCTGTCGTTCATCTTGTAGTTGAGAGTAAAGTATGAAGCTATCGTTTAGCACGGGGTAACGTAGCTCCTTTGTAGCATTGAAGGGGGAGTGGAGCAATCTGATTCTTGTGAACTGAACTCCTCCCATTGCTGCGCATGCGCGGTTCAATTTTTCACTCTTTTTTTTTTTTCAATTTTTCACTCCTACTCTGGCTTCCGGACGCCAAGACAGACCGCTGCCGCCGAATTTAAAGAGACAGGCTATAGTTATTTTAAATACGATAAACGGCAACCATTGTCCCTTTGCCTTTTTTTTTTTCCTGACGTCTCTTGCACTGAGATTGTTTTACTCGATGGTGATGTTTAATCAAAGTCGCAGCGAGTAGCAGCTTGTCTGTCATCAACCATCCACTCCGCTGGATTTTCCGTCCTTTTTTGCGCTGGTGCCGAGACTGTCCAGCCAGGCAAAGTAGGGTTTGCTTTGCAGGCAGGCTGGCTTCCCGACCGAGAGGAAGGTTTGTCGGCTAGCCAACAACTGGAGGTAACACCGAAGCTTTCCCTCTTCAAGTTGTGGTGGCGGCGGCGGCTCACAAGCCTCCTGTCGCCCGGGATAATGGCGAAGATTCAGGCGCACAGCACCGCGAAGCAAATAAACCAAATCCAAGACAAGCCTTACGTTATAACACAAAAGCAAGTGCAGCAGCAGCACTTCCAGAAGCTGAAGGTAAGAAGACAACGGACACGACAAGGGGAAAAGTCCCCTCAGAGTCAGAACCATTTTGTTCGTCGGATCATTGCATTGGATATTTCAGGGCTTTTCTTTTTCTCCCCTCACGTCGAGAGAGTAGTGAAAGGATCGGCTGGCTAACCTTTTTTTTTTTTTTTTTTTTAGTTAGCTCGCTGGCCTATTAAAAGTAATTCATCGGCGAACATTGACATTTAATCTCAGGATGTGGAAACTGTATTTTCCATTAACGATTTTCATGTGTTGTGTGACAGTCGGGTGACACAGTTGGATGTAGTTTCTTATTTACGATGTCAATAACAGGCTCTGTGAGCAAACATTAACTCAAACCTCGGTTGTGGGAAGTTCCTCCTTGTTCGTGTTTTTTTTTTTTCACCCTGAACAAAGTGGAGGACGTCAGCCTCAGCCAGGCTAGCCAAGAACGGCTATTTCACTTGATTAGCAGCTTCATTACACATTTCTTTGTTATCGCAGTGTTTTAGTATCACCAAGCTGTTTATTGCAACACGACTCTTTTAACCACTTGCGTTGACTAAACATATCGTGGAAAAAAACCCATACGTGTGTTATGTGTTGTAAGTGTTAGTGGAGTTATTATCGTCATTTGAGTGGCTACTAGCGTTAGCTCGAAGTACCCTCTTCAAATGTGTTTCTGACAATGCTTTGTGAACACATATTTTTTTTTGTTGTATCGTAACCTGACCTAGCTTGGCCGCTGCGTATAAAAGAGAGCCGAGGAGCAGTGAACAAAAGCTGCTTGCTGTTTCTTGTAGTTTATTTATTTATTTATTCAAATAGCGGTGACTTGTACAGATTGTACAGCTAAATAGTGCATTTGTTGATATATCACTGTAGTAAAACTTAGTGGCAAATAATTTCCACATTTGAGGATGTAATGCAGATGTAAATTCTGTTGATTCACCACTTGGTAGTAATTAGTATTATCTACCAACACAGACACAATGTGTAGTCAAATTATTGTCCCTTTTTTTTTTAAAGAGCTTGCTTCGAGATCCTCTATAAGTAGCACAACATGGTGTTTGCCTTTAAACCTTTTGCACAAGTACCAGGTGAGTCTCAATGTGCTTTATGGTGATTTTTGCTGGGGTTTTTTTTGTGTCTGTGCACAGGTTGAAGATGCCTTGTCATACCTGGACCAAGTCAAGATTCGTTTCGCAAATGATCCTGGAATATACAACAAGTTTCTCGACATCATGAAAGAGTTCAAGTCACAGAGGTACTTGTGCAGAAAGTTACTTCCAGTAGTATGTTTCCTTTACGAGAAGACACCAGAAGTAACAGAGTGGTTGAGCTGTTTTCTGTACACCTGCTGCCAAGTGCAGTGCTTAACTTCAGTGTCCTTGGATCAACAACATATTTTACATTTATGAACAAGAAAGCGTTTTGATATAAAGACAGAGAAGTTTTTTTTTTCACATAAGGTTTTTTCTTAATATAGCACATGAGAGAGGAAGCTTGTCTTTATTTATCCCTGTCACACCTCCCCACTAACACGTCTGGTTTTGCTTGTGCTCCTGTATAGCATCGACACACCAGGGGTGATAAACCGCGTGTCTCAACTCTTTCACGGACACCCAGACCTAGTCTTGGGCTTCAATGCCTTCCTACCACCAGGGTATCGGATAGAGGTCCCCAAGAATGGGGTGGCTTTCCTCCAGTCTCCATTCTCCACACAGGTAAGAGACTACCCTCAGTTAATCAACACTATAAACTTTTAAAGCTTTAAACCTGCTTAGCTTTCAACATGTGCATCTTTAGAAACTCAACAAGCAATTTGAAACTTACAAAAAAAAGAATGTAGTTTAATGTACTATAAGGTCTCAAATAATCAAAAGTTGGCTAAATTGTAATACCCTATATGTAAATGATGTATAATGCATTATGATAGATGACTTTCAATGATTTGAGGCATATGTATGTGCATCATCCTCAATCCGATCCAGAAACGTTCACGATAAGCCTGTAGCTATAATGATTCAAAGGATGTTTGATGCACTTTGTTTCCTCTTGGATTCAATTCATAATTAGTTTGATTACATTTTTGTTTTAAATATATGCACTTATAAAGTCTTTATCTGAGTGGCTGCAGCTTTAGGGAGAAAAAAAATCACAAAGAATGCATGAATTCAGTTGTCAGTTTCACAAGCACCAAGTCCTGCAGACTTAATGGTGCTCTCAACACAACACAACATTGTTCCAATGTGAAGATCAACTTTCTAGACTAAAGACTTTGCTACAGAGCGCTCATCTCTGAGAAATAAAACCGCTTTGGTTTCTTGTTTATTTGTAAGTCAGTCAGTACTTTTTATTTAGTGCAGATCCTTTCACAAAACAGGGTCACCAAGTGCTTCAGAAGAATCACATACAATGATAATCGTAATTATAATAACAACAACAAAACATCATAAAATGAACCCAATAGAGGAAAAACTTCTATTGAAGAAACAACATCAGATGGTCAAAAGCCATTTTGAAAAGATATGTCTTAAGCTCCTTTTTGAAAGCATCAGAGGATGCTGCAGAGCGTCAGTGCAATGGAAAGTGCTCAAAAAGTGTCAGAGCCTCAAGCTCAAAGGCATGATCGCCTTTAGTTTTCAGACGGACCTGAGGGACAACAAGAAGACCTTGGGTGCATCCGAATTGCCAAGTACCTACTCAATCCTTCAGTAGGCAGTAGACAGAAGACAGTACGTACTATCCATGCTGTATACTGTTTAGTACCTACTATTCAGTAGGCACACACAGTAGGCAGATATTTGTTCCTACTTCTTCTGATTCATTCAGTAAGGATGTGACGTCATTTACGTTACCCGAACCGCCTGCATTCACCCGTTTTTTTGTTTAGCTTTATTCAAAAAGAGTAATGCGCATATACAGTCAGGTAAACAAAAAACAATATCACAAGTAAAAGACAGATTAAATAACTAAATAATATCTTGGAGGCGCACGTGAAGTGACGATTTACGTTTAATTTCGCACTGCATTGTGCGTGGTAAAATCCAATTCACTTCCTGAAAGCACGCATCCGATCCATACTGCATAAAACCCGGAAGTTAGTATCCATACTGAAATGTTCAGTATACTGAGGTGGACCCACAAAATGCTTACTGAATGACCACGGAAGTTCAGTATACTGAAACTCCATACTGAAAAGTACGTACTGCCTACTGAACTGTGACGATTCGGAAAGAGCAGAGGTATCGACTGGGGATGTAGGGGTGGAGCAGGTCAGAGATACAACCGGGCACCTACGCATGTAGTGCTTGGGTAACAAGGACCTCAAAGTGAATTCTGAAGTTGTCTGGAAGCTAGAGTAGGGGAACATAAGATGGGAGTCATGTGATTAGACCTGCTGGACCTCGTCAACAGTCTTGCAGCAGAGTTTGTAGACAGTTAAGGAAGGACTCACTAAGACAGGTGAAAAGACATTTCACTTATCAAGCCAGGAAAATTTAAAAGCATGAATAAGCATCTCTGTGAGCCAGTTCGGAAATATTTCTTAAGTGAAGGAAACAAGAACGGGTCAGTGATTTAATATGCTGATCAAAAAGCCTTGTCTGATCAAAAATAACTCCCAAGATATAAGCCAAGAATCACAATCAAATATAATTATCTATCGTAAGAGTGTTTTCTTGTTTTCAGAGTAAAAGGGTTGACTCCAGAAGTTGATTGTGCGATCTTAGGATCAGGGGAGGCGTGTCTCGTACATGTTTGCAGGGATGTCCCTGTATGCTAACAATGTATGTTCTTGTTTTGAATTCCCCCTACATCTAAAACCTGTACTGTCATAAAAATGTCTTCTTGGATAAAGAAGCTTAACATGAGTGTGATATTACTTTGGTATTGTTGACACGATGAATACATGATGTTCTGGTATAGGGTGAAAGACTACTTATAGTGTCTTTATTGTGAATCATTCGCAGCTTCATATATTATACACTCTGTTTTCTGCTGATCTTTTTGTTAATTCTCTATGTTAATGGTAAATTGAGCTTTTTACACTGCAGGTCACACCTACACATTCACACACTGATGACAGGCTTCTATGTAAAGTGACCATCAGTTTTCACTAATCCATGCATTTACATGTGTGGGAAGCAGTTTTGGATTAGCAGTACAGTATTACCAAGGACATATCGACATGTGGCTAC